GAAGAAGCAAGAGTTTGCCAATGCTTGCCTGGCTCATAACACTGTGGTACGGAGAATTGAAGACGTTTCATCTGATATTAAGAGACAGTTAGAGGCAAAAGGAGTGGAGTTTGACTTTATTTCGTTAGCCTGCGACGAAAGCACGGACGGATCTGACACCGCTCAGTTATTGATTTTTTTTGAGAGGAGTGGACAATGACATGAACGTGAGTGAAGAGCTACTTGACCTCCAGAGTCTTAAGGACCAAACAAGAGTAACAGCTTTATTTGTTTCTGTTTGTTCTGCCGTAGATGACATGAAACTACCGTGGAATAAAGTCACTGGGATTACTACGGATGGTGCACCTGCCATGGCTGGTGAACGAAGTGGATTATCAACCCTAGTCTGTAACAAAGTCAGCGAAGAAGGAGGCAAAGCTATAAAACTCCACTGTATTATTCACCAACAAGTTCTCTGTGCCAAACATCTGAAATATGATCATGTTATGAAACCGGTGATGAAGGCTATTAATTATATTCGCTCCAAAGCCCTGTGCCACCACCAGTTTCAACAGTTTCTACTCAACATCCAGGCTGAATATGGAGATGTTGTGTATCACAATGAGGTAAGATGGCTCAGTCAGGGGTCTGCACTGCAGTGCTTCTACTCTCTTAGGGAGGAAATCGGACAATTCTTGGCAAACCCTATAAAAGGGACAACCGATGCCAGAGCTATCTGATCCTGTTTGGCTGGCTGATTTTGGATTTTTAGTTGACATAACACGACATCTGAACGTGCTGAACACAAGCCTTCAGGGGCAAAATGCAGTGGTAAGCCAACTGTATTCACATATCAAAGCCTTTGGGACCAAGCTGCTACTTTTCCAAAGGCACCTGTCACAAGCGCAGCCCAGTACCACACATTTCCCATCGCTGCAGGAAATAATGATGAGTTTTCCACAGAACAATATGAGTGCGCAGATAAGGAGGCATGAAGCAGACATCTCATCTCTGGCTGAGGAGTTTCAACAGCGCTTTCGGGATTTTGCAGCTATTGAAAAGGAGATCATGCTTTTTTCATCTCCTTTCTCTGTGGACCCTGATGACGCTCCAGACCACCTGCAGCTGGAGCTCATTGAGCTGCAGTGTGACGCCGAGTGTCACAGTCGGCACCAACAGCTCCCTCTTGTCAACTTTTATTGCCAGCTGGATAAAGACAGGTTCCAAGAGATTTGAACATTTGCTAAGAAAATGCTGAGCTTGTTTGGTTCGACATACTTGTGCGAGAAGACATTCTCGGTTATGAACATTAACAAGAACCGCGTGAGGACGAGACTAAGTGACTTTCACCTGCGTGACATCTTGCGCATCAAAACCACTGTTTTTGAGCCAGACTTGGCCTATATTATTATTATTATTATTATTATTATTATTATTATTATTATTAGAACATTTCTATGCCGTTGAGATCTCAGTATCACCCTTCACATTAGTGCAATTAAGTTATTTGTTTAGTCTTTCATAAAATAGTCCATTTGCATTTAATGTTAATGGTTCAAAGAATGTCAGGCTGAATGGTTGGCCCCCACACAGTTTCACCTCACCAAATCTGGCCCGCCTTGCAAAAAGTTTGGACACCCCTGGTTTAATGACTGCACGGTAGGCAGCTGTAGCTTTCTCCATGACCCTGTTTCCAAAGCTTTGCCTCCTGCAGTTTTGCTTTGGTATGTCACTTTTAAGATCTTGACAAGATGGAAAAGCAAGAAAAGAAGATCCAGTAAATATGAAAAAAGATACTTAAAGTTAATGCAAACATGTAATCCTGTTCACTAAGTGTGATGAATAGCTGCAAAAAAGGGAAGCAGAAGGAGCAACAACAGGTGTTGTTGTGTGCCATCAAGTTTTCTCTGATTTATGGCAACCCTTTGAATGAAAGTCCTTCAAAATGTCATGTCCTTGACAGCCCAGTTCAGCTCTCCTAAACTCAAGGTTGTGCTGTCCTTATGGAGTCAATCATCTCTTACTTTGGTCTTCCTTTTCTTCTTCCACCTTTGACTTTCCCTCGCACAATTGTCTGCAGGGAGCCTTACCCCTCATGCTGTATCCAAACTATGACAGCCTCAGTTTGCCATTTCTGCTTCCAGGGAAGGTAACCAGGGATATGCAGTTGAGCACATGTGATTCCATTAAGCTTCTCTGATTTCCACTTTGAAGCTTGCTCCAGGTTGAGTCTTTGTGTTGATTCTTTCACATGAAAATACATGTGCATTTCCCCAAATATATGTATCCACCATGCGTATTTTTCATATGCATTTTTGTATACACACCTTGCAGCTCCTGTGGCTTGAGAACGGGGCTGCTGTGTTATATGCCCAGTCATGCCGTAGGAAGTGGCCATCGGTGATATAGTCAGGCTTATTTTACCCAGAGACACTGCCCAGGATTCCACCCAGGCCATGGAAGAACTGAGCTGCTGTTATGAAGTTTAAATGGGCAAAGGCGGCATACAGCAGGAGTAACCTTTTTGTTCTTATGGCACAATCCAAAGGATTAAAGCCAGGGGCTCCACTTGTCCTAAGGGACTGGTGATGGGAGATGGCCTGGGAGGCCTCAAGTACCTGTTGTCCAGGTCTTTCCCAGCCAATCCATCCCCACTGGGGCACCATCTGCAGCTTTGGAAAGTAGGAATGGGAGCTGCTGTCACTGACACTACAACTGGCTTGCACTGCAAACAAAATCATCATTATAACAGCTAAATCCCTTTCTGGTTGAACCGCTGCCTGAAGAACCAAATGTTGAATGCTACCTCATACCAAGGAAAGCATCTTCCAGGAGAAGGAACAGTTTTCCAGTCCTATCCCATTTGCTGCACGGATAGAATAAATGTCAGTTCCTTTTTAGTCTGACACGTCGCACAATCAACAGTGACAATTTTTTATTACTTAGGGTGCTGATGCAATCTGCCACTCATTCATAATTTACTATGTTATGATATGAAATATTTTGTGGCAGCTTAGTCTTAAATGGACAATTAAGATCGATCCATTTTACAGAAGATGAAATTGCTCCCAGCAGATGGAAGCACTTCAGACTGATTTGCTGGTATGGACAATACTGCTGCCTGCATTTTTAGCCCTCCTAGGTAGAGCAGCAGTGGGGACTGCTGTGATGAGCCTCGGCACCTAGACACTTCCCACTTTACCACTGTTAAGTGCTTTTGCATCATCTCCACAAGTAACCTAGTGAGATTCCTATTATGCATCGATGGCTCTGTATGTGAAAAAGAACACCTGCAAGGAGCACAAAGGAGTCAGGTGAAGCAAGCCCAGAGCTCCTGGACCTGTACTGTCCTCTCCCACACCACTACCTGGACCACCTACCACCACCTGCCCTTTGGGGAGATCCTAAAAACCTGACCAGATTCTGATATTTTTCTGTTAAATGTATGTATACTTATAAGCTGCCTTGGAAGAATTTGTTATCTTGAAATATAGGATATAAATAGTGGCAATAAACACTTCTTGCTACATCATGCAGTTAGATCAGATGCAAGGAAGAAGCCCAGTAGGCTTTGGACTTCTGCTATATGGCCATGAATGCACTTTTCAAACCTTCAGTTTAGATCCTCATTGTTGCCACTTGGAGGTACAGAACAAAATCATATTGCAAGGAAGGCAAAGCTCCTTATTGGGAAAGACTGTTTTTTACAGATAGGAACCTCTCTCACACTCCTTGCTTATCTGCCCTTCTTGAAATGCCACTGATTTGATGGTGTTAGCCTTTATAATTAGACCCTGCGTCCTTCCTTGGTGGGTGAGAAAGTGCTCACTCACTCACTCGCTCTCAAAAAAGAAACACTGGATTTGCATGGCCAGCCTGGTAGCCGCAAGCAGCTGCTAATTGCACTATTATTATTAGTTATTATAATAGTGTATTACTTTGCATTTATATCCTGCATTTCTTGCTCTTGCAAGGAACACAAGGCAGCTTACATAGCTACCTCCCTGGGAGGCAGGTTAGTCTGCGAGGCAGTGGCTAGCCCCACGTCACCTGGGGAGCTTCTGGCTGAGTGGGGACTAGAACCAGGTTCTCCCAGGTCCCCAGTCCAGCACTCACACCACCGTGCCACGCTCACATGTAGGCAAGGGCTTTCGATGCAGTGCAGGCAAGTGAATGGCGTTTCAGGGGAGCGGTGGTGGCATTGCTGCCCCTTTGTAGCCAGCACAGACCCTGCTGGGTACAACACAGGCTGCTGAGGGAGGGGAACTCTTCTGCCCAGTGAGCACAGCTCTCCAGCAATCCTAGTCAGCCCTCAGCAGACTGGTTGCTGTAGGGGTTTGCCCGGAGGCTTGTTGACAAGGCTGCTGTAGTTAGCAAGCTGGCCAACCTGTTGACCAGCACTGGGTGTTCAAGTCCACCTGCTCTGTGGTTCTCTAAGCTCTGGGGAGACCCATCGTGTTCTTACCAGGGCTCGGTAACTTACAAGGATTATGCCCCTGGAAACAAAGCAGAGCCCACAGTTCTCCACCATTGGAAGGAGCAGCTGGTGTGCTAGCTAACCCCATCCTGATGGGAACTGTGCAGATGACTTTCCTAGGAAAACAGACCTGTTGGATGAGCTGTCAGGAGCCCCACTCCAAAGGCAGGGCAGATACGGGGGGGGGGGGGAGCATCCCCATGTCCTGCTTCTTTGCAGACGTGGCAATTTTGTCCTTGTTTCCCTGGAGAACCACTGGGATTTCAAGGGCAGCAATGCCAGCAATAGCCATATTGGGCCATGTGTGGCCCACAGCCTACATCTTGCCCACTCCTGTTCTAATGCAAAGTAAGGTTCTCTCCTGGAACTGCTTCCTTCTGTTTTGGTTAACACAGGAATTGGCATTCCTTACTTTAGAAACATTGCCAGGAGCACCTGAACACAGGTTTCCAGAGGGACTGACCGAATGAAACCAGAACGGTCCACTTTCCTCTTTGAGCAGCAGCACCCCCTCTCATCTCCTGCACCTGTTCTTTTTGTGCAGGCGCTATGGTGAAGGAGGCCACTTCCTCGGATAGGGAGCTTGTTGAGCCCTGCGACACTGACAGGGCAGAAATCAACCTGCATGCAGTGGAATCCATTAGCGACTTGCACTACGCATCCGGCAGACCGGAGGGCTTCAAGGCTTCGGAAGGTACAGTATGTCCTCCACAGCATCCTAACCGGATCCGGGGCAGCATCCAGCTGCCATGCCCAGGGAAGCCAAGCCCACCTGGCGTGCACTGTGCACGCAGCACTTCCGAAAAGTACAGCAATGGCTTTTCACCGTGAAAATAGGACCCCGTGGGCGGAGCCCGCCTGGGACGGTGCATGGGCTGGCCATGCCAGAGCCAGTTTGCTGCAGTGGCTCGCCAGAGGGCTGGGATGCAGGAGAGCAGAGCTCTAGTCCCCACTTGGCCGTGAAGCTTACGAGATGACCTTGGACCAATCACTTACTCTTAGCCTAACCCACACTGCAGGGCTGCTGTGAGGATAACATGGAAATGAGGAAAAGTGTTATTGTTTGTCATCATGGGCACCTTCAAGGAGTAAAAAGACAAAAATACTCAACAGTAGCAGCTGTTCTATCCCCCCAGCTCCTGTGTTTCTCCTTTCTTTTTTCAGGGAGCAGCCAATCTCAGCCTAACACCCCCTGGACTCCGCACAGTGCTTCCTCCAAGCATTTCTTCTTCCCGAATGAAGAGGACCCCTCCTTCCTGCCAGTCCAGAATTTGCACATTGCCCCCGATTTCTTCTGCTGCCCCTGCTTCAGCCCCACGTGCTGCCCCACAGGCTTCTTCGCTCTCCTCGGCGTGCTGGTAGTGGCCAGCCTTGGCCTGGCCACGCTGGCGGTCTATCTGAGCGGTAGGTTTGGCTCCAGTGGGTTCCGCTTGAGCAGCAGAGAATCAGGGGGCAGCATAGCCACTGGAGGGCAAGCGATGAGAATGGCACTGTGGGACCCAAGCATGTTAAGGTCCAAAAGGTCCCAGCTTGGAGGCTGTATGACGGGGAACGTGCCACAGTGTCAGACTGTGCTGCTGAATGGTTTAGTTGCTTGGACATCCATCACTAACATACAGAGAGTTTAAAAGAGCAGCTCGCACTGTACACCATCCTACTAACATGCAGCCCTTCCAAACTGTAGGAAGGAAATTTCGGAGCGGGGACAGGGAACAGGAGCAGCCAGGCTAGCCTCCCCCCACCCCCGGCTAACATTTAGTGCCCCGTGGGCAGGAACGACAGCTGCTGGTGGAGCTGTTGACAGTGACCAGTTTTGGTTCAGCATTTGGGTCAAGCTGTCTATTGTATTTTTATAAGTATGGTTAAGCCTCTCAGAGGACTTTGGAAGAAGAGTGAGACATCTATCAGTAGCACTAAAATTAATAACCAATTCCAAGAGTGTCTATCCACCATAAATCCTTTCTTAATTACTCTGTTTGGCATTGGAGTTCCTATGCACCCTCTTTCAAATGTGCAGCTTTGGCTGGATCCATAGAGGACCAGCCTTGCTTTCCCATACTCAGTTTGCTGGGAAAGTCATTGGCCTAGATTTTGTAGCGATGCCATGTAAGACTCAAGGACCCAACCGCACGGGAAACTCTAAAAAGCAGCATCTAGGCAATGTGCACACCTGATCAACACAATGCAACAGCTGGCTTTTCCAAGCCCTCTTTCAACCACCACTGGAAATAAGGGGAGAACAATGAAAGGGCTGTATTATGTAGACTTCCAGCCCCTCGCAAGTGGCCTTTTGCCATCAGAATCATACCAAAGCATTGTGCTCCACTCCACCCATGGCTCTCATAGCAGGTTTCCTAAATACCCTGGGCAGTATCCAGCTGTGTCACTCTGCAAATTATAGCAGCAGCTGAGACTAAGTTCTGAACTGTATATAAAAGAATCCAACTCCAGTGACTCTGTGAAGCCCATTTGCGCAATCTACTGTGCAACTGACTTCTGTGCATTGCTCTTGTCCAACTGCTTGTGCAACGGGAAGTTTCAGCAGAGCTCCACCAGCGCTCTTGCAGCTTGTGGAATGACACCAGTGGAGGCTGCCCACCAGTAAAACGCCTCGAGTGCTTTGCAAGTGGTGGAGCAACGGGGAGGACTCCCGTTTGCTTTTGTTAAGGCAACATGCACGTCTACTGCCCCCTGCACTCTGTCCAGCACCCAAGGACGACACGATTGTCAGGGATGATCTTTAGGTGGAGAGTTTCCCTCCGAAAGGGGAATGCAGGAGCCCGGAAGCACAGGACAGCTCCGTGGCAGCGAGTGGCCGCTCCTCTGCCCACGGACGCACTGCCCAAAAGGGCTGGGGCTTTGAAAGCGGCGGGCACTCACAGCTGCACAGGCCCCGAGTGTGCTACTTGGACTGCAGGCAGGTCTCCTCGCATGCCCACCAGCAAGCGCCCACTGCCCTTGCTCACTGTGTATGCTAGCTGGGGCCAACACCAGTGAGACCAGCACAAAGCGCAACAGTGCAACCAGTACGCTGAACCAGCGATAGCACACAGGTTGAAGGTTCCTGGGCACAGCTGCACAGAATGTGTCACTGTTGAAAATACCTGCAGAACAGAGGGGCTCAGTAAGCGATCAACACAGCCATGCCATCTCCCTTTCTCTTCCACAGTCCTGCAGCGCGAGTCACTCCGTGTCCTCAGCCAGTGGCTGGAGTCCCAAGAAGAGGCCATCCGGCAGATGAGAGCTGTGAGCGTACAGCTCTGGAGGCAGCTCAACGCCAGCGAGCCCGGGGCTCAAACCTGAGTTGCACTGCTCACCCACAGCCTCCTTTTGGGGGCGCTCAATTCCAGTGCGACAGAAGAGGGGACACCAACTCACTGCTTGGCACCTTTTGGACACTGACCTGTGCTGGTTTGGACTGTGTGATCCCAGAAGCTTAAAAAAAAAGCTCTTTTGAATCACGGGTGGGTCTTGTGAGGTTCGTGTGTCTTATTGGAAGCAAAAGCTGGAGACCTTGAGGCTGCCTCAGGCGGAGAGGGGGCAGGCAGGCAGGCAGATGTCCTACCGAGGAGTAAAGCAATTGGGGGTGGGGGGGGGTCTGCTCAGCAGCCTCCCACCAAGGGCAGCATCTCAGCCACTCTTCCTTTCCTTCCTCCACAGCATTTTAAAAGACATCACCTCCATCTTCTCTGTTTTTTCGCTCTGCTTCACTCTATGATTATTTAATGGTTTGCCAATGGAGCACCTATGCAGAAGTGCCTGACAGCACAAAATAAAACCCTCAAGTTTCTGCTGCCAGGCTGTGCTTCTCTCACTGAAGGATCCTTACAGCATTTGCAGAGTTTGCTAAGAAGTAGCCTTTAGCTAGAGAAAAGATGCTCCAGGCTGCACTGCAGCCAGGCTTGGCCAACATTTAAGGGGAGAGCTAGCAAAAATGGCAGCCACCAGAAGAGGAGGCAACAGGGTACCCATGATTATGGGACCAACAGAAGGATCTTTCTTTGCACTGAGGTATGGCTTTGGTCGGCTTTCTTTTTCAGCCATCCAAGCAGGGCTGCTCTCCAGAAAGGGGTGGGGGGAAGCAGCCACAAGCATGAACAGCAAAACAGTAAAAAAATGAGAGCGAGCCATGAGGGGCAGTCGTGCCCAGGGCACCAGAGAGGGGCTGCAATGGATTCTTCACTGCAAGGCGACCCCCGATCACCCCAAGTGAGGCTTCCTCCTGCCGCGGGGCTCCCTCTTGCCTTGATGCCTGCTTTGGCGGTGGGCCAGCTGCTCTTAGCTGGGCTCCTGGAGGCGGGAATTGGAGGAGGGAAACCCGTTGTCGGTGGCAAGGGGCGTGCGGGAGCAAGCAGCCAATTGGCTGGGAAGGAGGAGAAGCCAAGGGGAAAGAGACTTGCCGTTGGCTTCAGCGGCAGAGCACTGTGCAGATGGAGCGGCACCTCGGTGCCCTGGCAGGGGCTGGAGCAAGCGTGATGCACAGCTGCACTGGACCACTTTGCAGCACCGCTCAGAAGACAGCATCTTCTCCAGGGACGAGTCCTATCCAAGGAGCAAGCGAGTCTGTTCGATGCACCTGCCTTGCAGCTTGGACAACAGGGTGGGAGCCGAGGCCGCAAAGGGCCCCCAGCCTCCATGCAGCTTTGGTGGCCCTCTCCGGACCCAAAGCAGCGCCTGCCTGGGCAGTCACGAAGCTCGCTGGGCGAACGATGAAGAATAGGCAGCTGCATGAGCAGAGAAGTGGTAGAACCCCCTTCTCTCAGTCCAACCTTTTAATGAACTATACTGATCTCTGGAGTACATTTCATCCATCCAAGGCAAAAACACCTTCCACACAGGAGGGGCAGAACCCCAAGGCACCCAACCTCAAGCCACTCCCTTCCTTGCCTTCACTGTGGACACTGCAGTCACACTGAACCAACCCCTCATGCTGAGTTCATTGCCAAGAAAGTCCCCAGCCGAGAAGATCCAGTCCTGCGCTCACCACACGCACCGCAAGAGCAACTGCAGAAGGCATTCAGCAATGAAGACAGGGAAAGGAGGCTAAAAAAGTCACTGGCTTAAAAAACCAGTGGTGGAGGGGATAAATCTCCCCACTACCCAACCTCATCTAGATTTTTGGTTAAAAAAATAAAAATGGCACCTGCCCATTGCCATCCCACCATGATTCAAAGATCCAAGACATTTAAATATCGTTCTGTACATATATAAAAGCCTCCAGGCAAGGGGGGAGGGCTGAGGGGCCATGGCACAAGCCTGGTTCCTGAATGAGCCAGGGCATGGGAGCCCCTCAGCCCAGGCTCTTCCTCCCCCCGCAGCGTTCACAGTGGTCCAGGTCTGTAGTTCATTGGCTTGTAGGGAAGGCAGGAGGAAAGCAGCCCCCGTCAAAGGATGTCGGCACGCTTATCTCGAACGCGGCTCCTTGCTTTTGTCCGGGCCTTGAAGGCAGCTGAGTTGTACAGGTGCTGGTGAGGGTGAAGAGAAAAAGAGAGAGGTGGGAGACAAATAGAAAATTAGCTAAGGAGATTTCAGACTGAGAAATTTAAGAACACAAGGGGCACAGTGAAACTAAGGATTTAATTCTGTTAGACCCCGTTGGAGTAATGTCTGTGTATACACACGGGACGATGGCTGCCACACTCAGGTGGGAGACTGACTATCATTAGCTCTGTCTTTGCCATGGAAAACACAGCAAAGCAAGAGCACTGGAAAAACCCTGCTAGGTCAGGCCAAGAGGCATGGCAGAGCCAGCCTTCCCAACCGTGTGCCCTCCAGATGGATCCGACTGCAGCTTCCACCATTCTCGGGATAGGAGCAATGGAAGTTGTGGTCCAGCACACCTGGAGGACACCAGACTGGGTTCAGGTGCTCTGAGGCAGCAGTGTATATTAGCCACAGCAACCAGCCACATGCCCCCGGGACATTCACAAGACGGTGAGAAGGCGGAACCCTTCCCCTGCTGGCCTTGTGGGGCCTGGAGACTTGCATTTCAGCCTTTGGACTGAGGGTGGGCCCCAGCTGCTTCCTAGCAGCGCTTCCAGGTGCCTGTGCTTGGATGCCCTTGGTGGGGAAAAGGTGCACAACAGACTGCTCTCAGAGAGACCCCCAGCCTGACAAAACCCAGCATGGCAGCAGGTGGCAACACGGCTGATGTACCTTCTCAAAACGTGAGATCTTGCTGGCTTTAATAGCCGCAGGGTCCAGCACAAGTGGAGGGCCCAGCTCAAATATTTCCCGCAGCAGCTCGTTGTTCTAGGGATGAAAAGACAGAACAGCTTGGAGCTAGAAGAAAAACACCAGAGCAGCTCCCCACAGTTAGACCCCACACAACTGTGCCCCCACCCCGATTTCTTCCCTCGGTGGCAAACGCCCCCAGCAGAGATCCCTGCCCCACTGTGCTCACCTGCAGATGGTGCCTGACCCCGGAGCCAAGTGCCTCTTTGAAGGCGTTGTATGTTCTCCTCCTTGCCCAGCTGTCCACATACATACATTCCAGTCCAAACTTGATGGTCTCCTCATGGCACTCCCCGTTCTGGAGCAGGGGAAAACATACTGGGGGACTCTGCAGAGAACAGGCGCTCATGCCACCCGCACCCTCAGATCCCTCATAACTGAAGAGAAACGCTTGGCACTGCGCACCCTCAGGGAAGGCAAGGTGTGACTGGCACTTTGCAGGCACTAAGGGCACGGCCGGATAACCCCCTTGGGGCATTTCCGATTCTACGCGAGCACCTGTGCACGGCGTCTCCGCTAAGACGCCAACTGGGCACCCCGTTATACTGCTTCCTCAGTGCAGTGCCTTGAGCAGCAGCTCACAGAGCTGCCCCAAACAGTGCTGGCTGCTGTTGCTTTCGGTATCGAGGGGGCACAGGCATGAGGAACTCTGCTCGGTTCCGGAGGTGAGGGGAAGCCCTCCAGATTTCCAGGAAGTCCAGAGCTTGAATCTGAGCTGGACTCTGGAACCTAGTTCGAATGCAAGGCCATAGCCTGGGGACATGGGAAGCAACCTGAAAAACAAGGCAAGGCATCAAACTCTGCGCTTTTCCTCCCTAGTGAGTAATCATAGCTTGTGCTTCACAGGTCAGTGTGATTATGGGAATGTGAGTGTCTGTAGTAGGGTCAAGTCCCCGTGCCTTTGCTTTCTGGGGGATTAAGGGCTGCACTGATGCTGAATGGAAAAGACCCCCTACAGACCACGACATGAGAATGGCGAGAGCCTGGCAAGGCACCTCAATGAAATGCAGCACGTCACGAAAGATGGAGCGCTGCTTGCGCCGGTCTGTCTTGGCTCGGTACTTGTTGCTGTCTGTGGCCAGAGCTTTCAGTTTTGTGCACAGCAGGTCCGTGTCTTCGTAATAGAAATCCTCCTGGGACAAAGATGAGATCAGATGCCAAATGGAAGCTTCAGCTTGCAGGCCACGGTCTATCCAAGAGACTCTGAGTGACGCATATCCATCTTCCACTCTCCCCACACTCCCCCCACTCCACCTGGGGTCTTCCTCCTTCCTACTCGGTAACTATAAAGGGGCAGCACCCCATGTGCCCAGTCCACTGATCTGGCACAGCTACTGACAGCATGCAGCTCCCATGCTCAGCCATGTGCTCCCCAGATATTTTTGACATCAAGTCCCATCAGCCCCAGCCAGTCAAGAATGTTGGGAGTTGTAGTCCAGAGCATCAGGAGGATGGCTGGTTGGGGAAGGATGGAGTGCCAATACCCAAATTTAGGTGTGGCACCATTTTACTCAAGACTAAGCCATCTAAGGTCGGTCTTGGAGCAGCACCAAGCCAGGGAAGACCCCAGGAATGACTTCAAGGGATCGTCTCCTTCCATATTATTAAGGAAACTAGTTGGGAATACTGGATGTAACTTAGAGCTGGTTAACAATGACTCCAAAGCAGGCTTCAAGTTCTTCACAGAGTATCCTTCTGAATTGTTGGAAAAGGGTCTACAGCATCATTCCTGCTGAGTAAGACCAGGTGTTCACCTAGGCCAGCATTCAGGTCCTACAGTGGACAACCAGGTGCCCCTGGGAAGCCTACCAACAGGACATGGCCTTTCCCCCATGTTGTTTCCTCCCCCTCTGCACCTGCTGACACACCGCCTGAGAACACAAAGGTTCTCTGATGATTAGACACTGGCCATTCACACACAAGGACACACATGCAAGAACGAGAAGAGCAGTCGTGTACCTCCATGTCTCGGGCCAATTCAAACAGAAGTGCAATTGTTTCACCCGCCACAATCCGAAGGTTGACATTATCACTGGACAGCATCAGAGGCAACTTAGGTAAATGACTGTGGAAGAAAGAAGCGCGATTTATTTATTACAGTATCATTACTTTGCACTTCAACTTACAAATATCAATAATGAGCCAGGCTTAGTGACTTAGGTTTAGGCTTACAGACTCAACAGGAAAACGGTTTTGGGAGGAACAGGGAAAAAAGCAGATCTTAGGCACCTGTCCTTAGTTGATGTCTGGCAAAGTAAAGGAATAAGCCATCACCACCAACCAGCAATTCCATTTTGTGGGGAAGTTGTGCCCCTACCCTTTTCTCAGCACGCAGCCCCAATTCCTCATAGCCAGGCAGATAAACTTAACACGGGCAATTGTGACCTCTCTTCATTCAACCGTTACCTCCAAGTTTTCGACATGTTCTGCTGAGAGCTAGAACTGAATAAGGCAAAAGGAGGGCTTTCTCCGTCAGAAGAAATGCTGCCTGACAAGATGGGTCACTCACTTGTCCAGGATCTTCTTGATCTGGGTGCCTGGGCAGATGGTGAGGAGCAGGGACCACGACTGGAGTGCATTGCAATGCAAGGTCTGGAGTAGAGGACTGTGATGGGAGGGCACTAAGCTGGTATCGTTGCTGCAGGAAGGGCCAAAGATTCCCTCCAAGCACCCAAGGCAAGAGACCAGGTCCTGGAAAGGAGACAGGCATCAGTCGGTTCTCACATGAGCAACAAAAGCCAGCAAGAGCCGGTGTGTTGTGGGGGTTAAAGTCTTGGGCTGGGTGCCTGGGCGATCTGGGTTCTAAGCCCCACTCAGCCATGATGCTCCCTGGGTAGCTTTGGGCCAGTCACAGACTCTCAGTCTAACCCACCTTGAAAGGTCACTGTTGTGAGGACAAAATGGAGAGGAAGAGGGTCGTGTGAACTGCCTTGGCTTCCTTGCAAGAGGAAAAGTGCAGGCTATACATGCAATTCTTAAATAGTCATTTTAGAGAATGTAATTTTAAGGAATAGGAACAAAAAGAGCTGCTAGTTAACCAGCTCAGCAAATTCTGCTGGGGCTCAGGATGGCATTTGCTCCCAGGTCCTGCTGGCTACTGAACCGGAGAGTTTCTGCCTTCCCAGGTGCAGTTAAACTTCCCTGAGCCCCATGCATGTTGTTAGTTAACTCTGTCTGGAAGGAGGCATTTCTCATGTTACTCTCAGCCCTTGTTCCTCCTCACAGAGTGGACTATGCGAGTGGCCAGAGGGCTGTTTCTCAGTACAAAATGGATGGGCTTGCAAACACATGCCAGTGTTTGCCTCACAGCACAAAATGCATCCAAAAAGATTTCAAACTGTGGCATTGTCCACCATGTTAACTCCCGGCTAATCTATACCTGGCAGGCTCCAAGGATCAGTATGAGAAAGAAAGCTGATCTAGTCTGATAGTCTAACCAGAATAAGTGTAGTGTAGTGGTTACAACATTGAATTTGGACCAGGCAGACCCAGGTTTAAATTCCATTCAATTGTATCTTGACCCAACCTGTATTTCTTAACCTAGTCTACCCTGCAGGGCTGTTGTGGCATAAAATAGGCACCCTCCATGTAAACTGCCATGAGAAAGAGCAGCATTTAAAAATGAAATAAACAGTAAATTCATATAAATTATTTAGCTAAGCCCAGTAAAGAAATTTCTTATGATAATTAAACAACGGTAGGACAGAGAATTTGAAATAATGACTTTAGAGTAACTCTGGTATTGTGTTCAAAGATTTGTGGATTGCATCAAAGGTAGCTTCAAGAGAAAAGCTTTATAAAATAGTAAGCGTGTGGAATTATATAGCAGCCAGGATACTAAGGATATTTTCGGCAGCGGATTAGGCAGTAGATGCATAATGGTAGCGGAGCCTGTGGCTGCATTGTAATCTGAGTAAGGAATATTGGAAGAAGAGAATGCATAGCATCATAGAAATTACAGGCTATGAGCTACAGTTAATTCCAGCAACAACACTACTGGCAGATACTGAAGATCAGAACTCTAGAGACTTTGGGGGCAGTGAATTATACGTCAGTAGCTACAAGGATCCTTTCAGCCAAAGCCGGGAAAACAGCATACATCCCGTTTCTGATATAGTGTATAAAGACGACATGGGCTATCATGGTGATGAAGAAAATGGCAATTTATACTTTGTTCCCAAAGGGAAGAATGAATTCCATCCAGACTTCCAGAAATGGTTGGGTATTATGTATCAATTTGTGGAATAAGGTCAGCCAGATCATCTATCACCATTAGGCAGACGGCGGGTGTGTTAACATGAATGATTTTAACTGATCTGAATGACCATCTTGCAAAGCAAACTCAAATTCATGCACTGAAAAGGCTCCAGCTCTAGCATACATCACCTCCATGTCTGCAGCAGCGATATAGCAGCACATCCCCAGGGCTGTGGCGCACTGTTGGCAGGGAGGGAGGAAGAGAAGGTCAACGTTGTCCTGTCAAAAGTCCTGGATACTTTTCCACAGACCCAGGTAACGCCTCCCTTCCCCGAGGCACTCAAGGCAGAAGGAAAAGGGGCTACTCACGCTTTGCCGAGCAACCGGGCTCGCCGAGGCGTCCGTCAGGATGGTGACGAGGAGGGGCTTCAGGCTGCGGAAGACCTCCTCCCCCTCGGGCCCTGAGCCCATCTGAAGGCACAATAGTGTAAGAACTGTAGCAGCCAGGGACTGTTCCTCCCCTTTCCCTGAGAGAAGGGAGAGACAGCGTTGGCCTCTTTTCAGGTACAAAATGTGCAAATGATGCCAGACACATACAAGACCAAACACGGGGGGTGATAAAGAGGTCTGGGATGGTGGGCACCTCGAGTGCGAGATGCGCTTTCAACATTGGGACAGTGCCATCTGGGGCAATATTTTAAGGTGGTTTTAAGACAAGTGGCTACGCACGGGCAGTAAAGGCTGTTTCAAAGGTGACATCAAGATCACATCACAGAGGCATGGAAGGGACTAAAGAAACATCCAGGAATCCATCTCTACTTCCTTCCTAGGTAACACTGGAGATGCCAGAAAAGACCACCAGTCCAGCAAAGATGGAGGAAGGAAGGCCAACAAAGCTTGTGCTATCTAACATGCCTCATTTTGCTTCCCATTTTATTTCATTCTTACTTAGAATTATTAAGCAGGGGTTTTTAAAAAGGATATTTGTGGGAAAAAGCTGTAGCACCATTTCGCTTCACACTGAGTTTTAAAAAAGCAATCCAACCTGCCAGCATTCCCAATTCTCTGATAGCTGTAGCGCCAAGAAAGACACAAAAGCTCCAGTTTCCAGGAAGTCAGGAAGCCTGGGGCAAAGTTTACTGGCACGCTTTGGACAAGCCATAACAAAAGTGACAAATTTCAAAGGATGATACCGTGTTAATCAAAAAGTATCATATTTTCAAAGTTGAAACTGTTACCATTATCTGCTCCTATTGCTTTCAATCACTTCTGGCTGATTTCAAAGGGAGAGATTTTAGCAAGTGCTACATTCTCCCATTAAAACGCACAATATTTCAGCAAGTGTTGATTAGGGCAGGTCAAGTTCCAAGCATCATAAAAGCAGGTCAGTCCCCAAGACTGTCCCAAGACCCCCCAAGACACTCACCTTTCTTCAGGCACTTCTCTAAAGAGTCAGTGACAGTGAGCCTGCGTTCCAAGAGGAAGTCAAAGAGCATCTTGGAGGAGAAGGCTAGCCGCAGGTTCTCTAGAGCAACCTGCCGGATCTTGGCACTGGGAAGGGGTTGAGAGGACACGTGGGGTCACAACAAGGGGCAGCCCAGGAACAATGCCTAGAAAATCTTCCCTTGCCACCCAAGAATCCATGCTTATTTAAAAAAAACTAATTCAGAATAAGTTACATCAATTGAGGTTACTTCTTTCCAAAAATGCAGGACTGAATTGAGACTGTAGACTGTAAGTGACCAAGGACATCACTGGGCAGTAAAGATACAAAAAGGGGTGTCGCAGACTAGGCCAAAAAGCTGTGCAGGGCAATTAAGCCTTTCCTGCCACTGCAATGCCTTACTCATAACTCATCGGTCTGAGTTCTCGGCAAGTATGTGCCTAGAACTGCCCTTTTCCTATATAAAAACTGAACTTTTCATTATGAAGTGAATAAGTACACTGCACATGCTCTGTAATCCACAACACACACACTTTTTTGAGTGTGGGGGGCAATGTAGAAACAGAAAATCAAGTCTAACTGCAGCTTGCAGTGGCACATAGACATGGCAGTGCACTCACGTATTACACAATTCATCCCAAAGATACATGAGACTTCAGCACACACATCTGAATTTTACCATGTGCTGGATTTCTGAACCCACGCAAGGAAGTAGTATGGATACAGAGGCAGGGAGACAAGGATCTGCAAGGGTGTGAGCATTTCTATGGGCCACACTATCTCGGGGTACTCCAGGACTTGTGAGCTAAACAGAGGGGGAACAAGTGAAAGCCACTGGAAAGCGATAGGCTTACGAAGGGTGTGACTTTTAAAAGCAACATCCCAAACCACCAGGCTCCCTCTGAATACGCGGCTCCGTGGCCTGAAGGGCAGCAGTAATTCATACTTCATCGCAAGGAGCGGTGCCAAGCATTGTGTGCACATCCGGCAAGCTCTTCTCCCAGGAGCCGCATCCAGCCTATCCTGGCTGGCAGTCTGGTGCTGCCAGAAAGACTTGGAGAGAACTATATCATGGAACGCAGTTCTCCAAGCACTGGGCCTTGAGAAGCTAAAATGAACTATGCGCCAGCGGAAAGTATCAGTGTGCATGATGAAACACTGAGGCTTGCAAACTATAATGGCAAGGGGACAACAAGGCTCTGATAAGGACTGAGGATACTCAGCGGCCCTGCGTGACGTGGAATGGACTATCTGGGAAGAAGGCATCCCTCAGCTCAGGAGATCAGAGTCACTGCAATTCATTATGTTACCTTGTGAGCAATGCCAACATAACGCAGCCAGACTCTCCCAGGACGCCACTGCCTTCCAGAGGCAGAGAGGTCAGCAGAATCAAGGACGCTCAGGTTCAGCTCAGCCTCCATAGGAGCAAGAGCTGCTTGCTCGCTCACTTTCCTTTCCACTTGCTCAGAAGCCTGGGCACTGAATGCACTGGCCTCTGGCAGCGGAGTCAGAAGGCCATGCCAGACACCACAGCAGCAAACGCGGTGGTGTGGTGGTCACTGCTGAGCAGGAAGACTGAACGACAGCAATGCATTCTTGCCTCCCCCGCCACTTCTTCCTAGATCCGGGCTTGAGAAGACACCAAGGCCTCTTCCCTCACTTCCACGGCTTTACAGGAGCATCGAGCGCCAGATGGCATCAGCATCAAGTGGAAGGGAAATAGTGGCGAGTACACAACTGCACAGTCAGAACATGTGCACACCCTCGTCAACCCAGAACAGCTTAGAGTTCACAAACCACTTCAAGCTGATAACAAACCATAGTTTGTTAATTCAGGCATCACACTAAGTTGGCGTGTATAAGCTTCTATAAGCTCTGCTTTGGCAAAATGCTTCTATAAGCTCTGCTTTGGCAAAATTTGGCAAAATTAACCTCCAAACTGCATGCACACCTCACCTCTTGTCCATCACATTGTCGATGTACTCTTTCAGTTTATCTTCTACATCCTCTTGCTGCGCCTGCTCATCCACTGCCTCACCTCCTGCACAAAGCAGAAAAGAAAGCATCAGCGCCCAGTCAGACCAGCCAGGCTGACAGTCTCTGGATCTTGCACACTCCTAAAGCAAGCAGAACAAGAGATGCGAGTCTGAGCGGAACAGCACAGGCAGAGCTGCAAAAAGGTTCTTCATCCGAAGCATGTCAGTTGGCATTTTAGCCAAAACATTTTTTTCTAACAGGCTTTTGGCACCTGCAAATTGTTCTAGGTGTTGCTGTTGGTATTACAGGATAATAATAGCATTAAAATGGTTTATGTTTTTAACTGTTTGGCTGAATGCCACTTTAAGGACCAGGTTGGTGGCAAAATGTCATGCAGCAGGAGAATGATGTAAGCTGCTTTGAGTTCTTTGTAAGAAAAAAAGGTGAAATATAAAACTAATAAATAAAAACATAAAGCAAAACCAAGCCTCTGGAAGTGCATCTTTCAGTAGCCCCAGCATTCAACATGATGTTTTCCACTGCATCCTAAGAACCCTGGTTTTAACTCCAAGACATGTACTGCCAGCACGTATCAAGGCTGTGTTTTTATAGCCAGCCTTGTGAATGGCTAATGAATATCCTTATTAGTCATCTGTAACCACAAAGAACTGACTTTTGTAAATCTTCCCTGTCTGGTTGCCTGGAGGAGATTCTTACAAGCCTAAACACGTGGTGGCAGTTTTTGCTAAAACCTTTACAGTCATCCTCTCCTCCACCCTGCTGCTGCGCTCATGTCCTGCTCAGGGCTTTCATGGGGGCAGCTGTCTAGCCACCATGTGAACTGAATGCCAGACTGGATGGACCTTGGTCTGATCCAGCACAGCTCTTCTTAGGGTCTTACGAACCCATTTGTTTTCAGGAGTGCTAGTTCTCCCTTCTCAACATATCGAAGTTCTGCCAAAAGCACACCAAAAAAACACGTGCTGTGAACAAAACTATGTCATGTGGAGGGTCCAGACTTCACAGGTGCGCAAGCGAAGCTCTGTGGTTCGAAGAACAGAAGTTTTGCCTAATACACAGAATCCCAGAGTTTTTGTCACCCACCTGCGCCCACACTCACCTGGCACTTCCTCCACTACACTGGTACTCTCACTGGCACTGCTGTAGTGGCTCAGCACTTCACTGGCAGCCTCATCGTCACTGGCCGGGGTCTCCATCTTGGTGTTGCTGCGCGTTCCTAAAGGAAGAGATGAAAAAGCTGAGAGGCAGCTTCACGACCAGCTGAACAAAGAACCACGCTGAACTGCATGTTTACCTACCTGGAGAATGTAGACTATGCAACAGGGTTCTATTCTCTGCAGGTGTGACTAACAGGGGCTACAGGTGACTATTTAGGAAGAAGTAATTTATTGTGGTGTACACATCATAACCTGACAAGCTAGTTGCTCATGCTACATCAAAGAGTGAGAAGAGCTACCAGTCCACCCGAAGCACGTCGAAGCAGAAGAGAAGCAATGTCACCCCATGATTCAGCAGGGCAGCACTCAGAACCCAACAGGTGACCATTCATCATTAATCCGCTGCACACCTAAAAGCACTCCTTGCGGGATAGTACAGGCATCCAAGCAAGCCTGGGGATGAGCCAGCTCACCACCGGAAAGCCTGGCTGCACGGGCTCATACAGAGAGCCTACCGAGGGTTACATGGGTGCTACTGCCTGCGAAAGGATGATCTGCATCCCCCCGACCTGCTAACTTTTGTGTGTACTTCCCTTCTGGACAACAGCAGCAACAACAACAGCATCCTCATTATGACCTGTCATGCCTCTCTGACCTCACTCTTACACACCTCACCTGACAGTGACTGTGTCTAGCAAAGGCTGACAGAGCACAGAACATTTAACCATCAGCTAAGCCAGGAAAGCTCCAGAGCTGGAGACTGCAGTCAACCAGGAGAAGGAAGGGGAAAGCCCGCTTTTCACTCACCTAAAGCTATCTTCTCTCTTCACATCCCTGGATGCCTTTGCTGGCACGGGACAGCAATGAGCCTGCTACTGACGCGAGCGAAGTTAAAGTAGCGCTATCAGCTTAGGCACACCCTACTGCTAACTATTCCAGGCCTGGACCAGAAGATAAAAGGGAGAAGGCAGCAGCTGCACTTCTGACTGTAAGGGGCCAGGACTTTACTGAGTACTTAAAGACACCTAGTTAAATTCATAGTAATTATTCATTTCATTCAGGGTGAAATAAGCAGAAATGGCTGAATTATATGTAAGGATGGGGGGGGGGTCATTTAGATCACTAAAATCTTAAGAAAGTGGAGATTAATGGAGTAAGCATTAAAAATACAAACAGAGCATACAGCTTCATTTTTGCAGATTTTTGTTTTAGTCAAAGGTCATAATAACATTACAGGAACCCAACAACACACAGGGTACTGTAGCCACAAACATTAAAAGGGAACATTCAACCCACGCAGAACAAAACTGCATTAAGGAGGTGTACGCATAGGTGTTCAACGTCTGATCCCACTTTAACCAACAGTAAGGTGGAGGTCACACGCTTGGCGTGAAGCCCTTGTTGAGATTTGCAACTCTTAACCCCTCACTCTTTCTTGTCAGTTCGACTGAGGGTCACAATTCTTCCAAACTGTGAGAGGGGCTTGTCCTACACAATCACAGGTACTGAACAGGTACCTGTTCAGGATACTCCCGAGTTCACTACACAGAGGTGGATGTTACAATACCTTTTGATCAGCAGTTGGAAAAAGCATTTGTTGTAGTTCAAGAAGCAGTACAAACATGTCCCCATCTGCAAGCCAGTTTTCAAACCTGGGCTTGAACTACAGCAATACTGTTGGGCTAAGAGAATCAGTCATTCTGAATAAACAGAGCATGCATATTTACTAAAATAATGAGTTTCGTAATAGCTGGTCTGGCTCCAGCAAAGTCAATGCTCAAGAAGCGAGAATCAATATATTTTTCCTATGAGACCATATCAGTTGGTGTCGAAACTGCTTCAATAGCACAGACTTTTGCAAGCCTGTTTCAAGGAAACAAAGCCATTTGGACCAGTCATTTACAAGATACAAGCAGTCGCACAGTTACACTGATAGTATCCTAGTTCCAACACTCAGCTTGGGGTAGCCAGTACCTTTGTAGGAATTTTATCCCATACAAGCTCAAGATCAAAAGCCTCACAGACCTACCTATTCCGAAGCACTGAAGGGGCTGAGTCTGCATGTCATGATAACCCACCCAGGGAACAAGCCACAGTGGGTTGGTGGTTGTGCACATGAGCCACACCTGAGCCCCAGAGAGGACGTGACTTCTCATGGATACTCTGCTGCTTTGCTCCCCCTCCTTCCCCCGGGGGGGGGGATGTTTCTCCAGGGGGTGTCGCCCAGACTGTGCAAGGAAAAAGAACGATCCTCCTCTCTCCATTCTCTCTCCAACAGCCACAACTGCAAGCAGATTCGAGCTCACTGCAGCTGCCAGAGAGCCCCGCTGCACAAGCGCATCTTGTGCCCCGAGGCGCAAAGTGCCTCAGCTGGGACCACTTGCAGGAGGCTGCCTGCTTCCCCTTGCAGAGAACAGCCCCCTGTATGTTGCCCCCGCCAAGGCTGGGAGCTGACCCCACTGTACGAGCCCCGCTTGTGCTCAGGGGACCAAGAAGAAGGGTCGGAAGGAGTGGGCTCCTGCTCCTCCTGGTGCCCGGTCCACTTACTGGTGCCACCAAGGGCTCCCCAGCCTGTGTGTCTCACCTGAGAGGTCTACCTTCAGGTCGGAGGCAGGCGTGCCTGGCCCACTCCACCGTGCGACCTGAGGACTGAGCAGTGCCACAGAGCAGTTCCTTGCTGGGCGCTGGAAGCGCTACCCTTGGGCCACCAGCGAGGGTGATTTTTTGGCCGGCAGGCAAAGCTCCTGGCAGCGGGCGCCAAGCAGCACTTGGCCACTCTGGGCTCTCCCAGCCCAGCTCTCAAGAGTTGTGATGGATGTTTGCTGTTCTTCCAAGCAGCCCACTGGCTGTGGGGCTCCCCCACGGTGGGCTGTATCATCTTGTTGCAGAAGACAAGGCAGCTTGTGGGTTCTCAGGGTGGGTTGTTTGGGGGAGCAACCACCACCTACCCTCAGTGACCGAGGCTGTGTTCTTACGGCATACCAGCTCGCCTGTGATAACAAATCATGGTGCATTGCCGTGTCATCCAAACCAGGTCTCCGACTCAGGAACTGGTAATGTGCACACATGTGTTTGTCCATGTGCAAGTGTTCTTCAGAACCGGTACCTTTGATTTTGTAGCAAAAAGATTCGTCTAGATTCCCAGAATAAGAAAACTGTAGCCTCAAATATTAATTTGTTTCAATGCATTCCACTTGCCTGAACTGACAAATGAAGAAGCCAGTCCACGGCTGTTCGTCGTGCTGAACTGGGATGATGGAAGCGGTTACTCAGGAAGGCACCAGGCTGGGGAAGGTGTCAGCATCACTACACTTTTTTTGCAGACAAACAGGGGAAGAAAATGCCCCTGCTGAGCTCAGCGATGGCGCCATGTTTCTTTTAAAGTGCTAAAATAGCAAGGTGGCCACTGCACAGCCTTGCTTAACCTCCATCCCACACCTCTGGAATTGAGCTAGCCCTGCGCAGGGAGATGAATTGTGCTGGCAGGGAAAATTGGCCTTGTAGCCCAAAACATCCAGAGGATGCATGGCTGGGGAAAACTGTCTTGGTCCAATGCCAGAGTGAAGAGAAGATAATGCCTCAGCATGTAAAAACAAACAAGCGCTCCCACAACTGAAAGACAGGTGAAGAGGAGTGGAAATCCATAAAACGTAATGCCTGCAGCTATACAAAGTGGACCAAGCTGGGTCTCCATGGGCTCAGCTGATAATGACATACTTTTGGCTATCTAGCTGTCAAACCAGGCGGGTTCGGGTTCCCAATTTGAAAGTTCACACCTGCCACAACAGTCACTTCCAACAACTCCTGACCCTGAGAGGCACAAAAACTCCCAAGAACCACCCACTGAGGCAGCTTTGGCATGTTCAGCTGCCTGAGGAGGCAAGACAGAGTTTCTCCTTAGCTAACCCCAAGCAGAAGCAAGCGGGGAGGCTGCCTGGGAAGGCTGCCAAGGGGCAGCCACCCTTCCCCTGCTATACGCAGACAGAATGGGTGAGATCGGGTGACACACTGCAGGGATTCATCCATTGTCACTAAGCTGTGCCTGTCCTATCAAGAATGTGCAAGCTTTTGCCTTAAACAGCACCCTTCACAGGATGGCAGGGAAAGGAACAGCTGTACTGGAAAAAAGGGAATTGGTGCATCTGGCAGACAATGGCTGATCGCACAGCTTTGAAGAATCCAGACGTGTTGTTGTTGATTAGAGTTTTGTACAAGGGCTGTCCCACCAGACAGAAAGTGTTGTGCTATCCAAAAGCCAGCACATGTTCTCGGCAGCAGAAGGGACACACAGAACCCATTCTCCTGCTCCTATGAAGGAGCAGAGCAGTGGCAAACTCAAGAGGAAAGGTCAGAAAGGAGGAAAAGACTGGACAGGCGGGTATGGCAAAACGAGAGAGAGAGAGAACAAAAGGCCATTTAATGCCTGACTCCTAGCAACAGCCTCGAGTCCAACATAGCTAGGATACTAGACGCTACACATCACCCAAACCAGCAGCCAGCTCTCGCCGAGCAGTGGGCACCAAGTGACTGCTGCTAAAGGGTTAACAGGCTTCTGGCTTCCTGCCCTAGGAAGGAGCGGACGGCAGTGGTGGCACGAGCCCACGAGCTGACTGGAGCCGAGCCGGATGAACGCATATTGTTGAGTGCACAGCTGGGCCCCACAGCAAAGCACGCGGCACAAAGGGAGGTTGCCAGGAGCTCTCTGCCTCAGGCCCAGCAGGGGCTGTTCGGCACCAGGCGGTGACCTGGCATTCCAGCCCCCAAAACCCCACAGGGCGAGGCGTTTCCCTCACGATCCATTTACGAGGGCGATTGGCCACAGGAAGGCAAGTGGGGCGCATGTGTGAACTTGAACACAGCAAACTAGTTCAGGGGTCATGTTTGTTTCTGAGTGCTTGCAAGTGGTCTACTAGCCACATGCCAGAAGATTGGGACATTGCGTTCTGTACAGCTGTGAAGAGAGACAAGCTCTGTGTGTGTGTCTGTGTAGGGGTGTGTGTGTGCATGTGCTGAACACGTCAAGGTAGACCTCAGTGAGGCCTGCATCACACCTGGTACAGCATTGTGCAAGAAGTCCGCATTCTCCTCCTGTTTTCTGTTTCAAGACTGGCTAACCGAAAAGGGCTGCTTTCCCCTCACGCCAGCGTCTTCCCCTCCCTTGCACTGAACAGCCGTGCCGTCCCCACAAAGAGTTGGACAGCTTAGGAACCTGCTCCCTATTTTGGAATGTTTGGGTTGGTGCCAACACAGGCCGGGCTTCAGGATTTTTTCTGACAAACCAAGGAGCTTCCCTGACTGTTTCACCTCAACAGGCTAGCACAGCCTTGGCCCATGCGGGAGTGCTCTCTCCAGCAGTCTCTTTCCTTATCACTTCTTGCCTAGAATAGCAGAGCCGTCTTATCAGGTTAAGAGAGAAAACCTTGGGAAATAAGCTTAGGCTTTGCATATGGCAAAGGCTTAACAAAGAGCCAGGGTGGTGGTGTGTTTAAGAGTGCAGCACCCAGACTGGGGAGATCTGGGTTCCAGTTCCTGCTCAGCCAGGTCGCCACTGGGCAACTTTAGGCCAGTCACCAACTCTCAGCCCAACCTACCTCACAGGGTTGCTGTTGTGAGGATGACAGTGGGAGGAGGAGATCTGTGAATCCCTTGAAAGGGAAAAAGGCAGGATATAAATATAATAAAAAATAACAAAAAGCAAAGGGGTGGTAAAGACCACACCCTCAAATACTCCACACCAGCACTGTGCTCCCACAGTGCCCAACCAGCTGCCTACGGGGAATCCACACAGAGCACATGAACGCATCAATGATGCCCTGCCTCCCATGCTCCCCAGCAACGGGTGTGCACAGCATACTGCCTCTGATACTGAAGGCAGCAAATGACTCTCAGCACCAGCAGTGATCAACGGCCTTCTCATGATTGTGTCCCGTTCTCTTTAAAAACGGTCCAAATTACTTCCACAGAATGCAATGACGGTCACCAAGTTCCACCATTTAACTCCACGTTGTGTGAAGATGTGCTTCCTGTTTGCAACACAGAATCTCCCACCAATCAGCCTCACAGGGTGACCCTGAGTTCTAGCACTACCAGAGAGGAAGAACAATGTCTCCCTATCCACATTCTCCATACTGTGCATAATTCTGTAGACCCTAAATACTCCTAAGGCACAAATGTCTGTTTATTATGTGTCCAAGGGAGGTTTCTAGAAATTTTTTTTAAAAGCTGCAGGCAACAGAGAACTCATTTTGCCTCCAAAATAGTGCTCTAAAAAGAACTTTGCTTACCTAAGCTATTCAGTGTTGATGCTGCTCATATGGGAAGGTCTCACCCAGTTTCTGTGCCCTGTGTCCATACACAGCCTCACCTCCACTTGCGGAGAGAACACCGCTCTTTCTGGATGATGCCACCGCCACACACCACAAACTGAAACACGGGCCGCGCAGGGCCAGCAAAGCTTTCGGCAGCCCTGCTGGAGCATTCCCCTACACACGGGTGAGAAAGCAGGTGCTCAGCCCAGCACTGGCATCCAAAAGTGAAGACAAAAGCACTGGAGCAGTTGCATATGCACATTTTTTGGGGGAGCTTGGCAGATTTGTCTAGTACACCCATAAAGGTCACCACAAGCTTTCTTTCTTTTTTTACTTTCACACATTGCAGAAGAATTTTGTCACTTTTTTTAATGCAGTAGTGCATGCCAAGTTTGTTTTGTATGACTCAAAGCCACACTGTTCCATGACGGCACACTGTCGCCTTCCAAAGCAGGGAATATTTATTTAACAGGGTTAAGCTACGAGTGACAGTGTCAATTCAGGTATCTCAGAGGTTTGAGAAACTAACAAATGAAGATTAAGGCACTCATGTCTTTCATACCTGTATGTTCTCCTTCCATTTTGAAAGTTCTTGGGCATGTGATGACCAGGGGAAGAAAGGCAGAAAAAATGGGATGGAGAAAGCAACTGGAAAATTAAAAATAAAACTTTTTTCCCTTGGGAATTTCTGAATAATGTGGAAAAATGGTTCCCCTTCCCCCAGCATCTTTCCAGTTTCCCCTTTCTCCCACCCCAAGCTTTCATATCTTTGGGAATAAGCATCTACATTGCTTAAAGCATTGGTTCACTATTCATCCCACAGTTCTTGCTTTACTGATCTCGTTCTCACTCTGGATTTCTCTCGACAAGAGCAGTTTTTTCCACAGTTATCGAGAAGAAATACACTCTAAGTCATTCAAGTTTCATGCATAGCAGCAGATTGGAAACTACTTCAGAGCACCCAATAGCAGTGAAATATTTGTCATTACGCAAGCCGTTTGATAAATATATTTACTCCTAAGTAAAACATTTAACAGCAAGGATTTGAAAGTTAGAAGGTTTAATTCTCACTTTCCGCATCTTAGTTCTCATCTATTTGTTACCAAGTCAGGTTGGAGGCCCTACATTCATTCATTCATTCATTCATTCATTCATTCATTCATTCATTCATTTATTTATTTTCTATACCACCCATTAGTCAAGATGTTTCTTTGGGAGATTTATATAATCTTACACAGTTACTATACACAGCTCTGAACAACTTGGGACCGAAATAACTGAGAAAGCCTCTTCCCCCTTAGCTACCTGCCCAGTCACCGAGGTCATCAGAGGACATGCTCCCACTGGTTCGACATGGACCCACGGCATGACACTGGAGCCTACCAGGAGGAGAGCTCCCTGTTTCCAGAGACCAGGCCGGCTCCGATACTGCTGTTTTGATGCCCACTATGGGCAACTTTGGTCAGGGAAGCCGTTGCACCTGATTAGCCAGAGTTTTAATGTTACCTTGTTTTTAATGTTACTGTTTTTATTATTTCCCCGTTCTATCTTTTAATTATTCAACACTCTGGAATCTGCCTAGATATGAAGCAGAACAAACAAATAAGGCAACAAAACACTGTAGGAGTTTTCCTAAAATCAAATGCTCCCCTTCCTGACCATATATTCCTTTATGTCCTTCAGAGACAGGGTTCTTTAAACACACACACACACATTACAGTCTCAGTAGCTGCTTCAGACAGTTGATTCAGGATGTCATGAAAAAGCACTGTATTATTTTTTATTTATAATTCATTATTGTATTTTCCATGGCAAGGAAGGGGAAAGGTACCTGTAAGGTTTTCCGCCTCAGGGGCCAAAATCATTTGACAGCCTTGAGTACTATTATGCATCCTGACTGGGATGAGCTTCTGCCTCAAGCAGCAAAAAGTCTTGGAACCAACCCTGGACATGTTTAGAGAGAGCTGCAGGTGGAGAAAGGTACCTGAGATGGTACAGAAAATTATCTGGAGTAGGGAAACAGCTTGGGGTTCAGAGAGACAGGCAGATATGGTCAGGACTGCAACAAACTGACAGTGTAATTCAGAACTCTTTTCTCAGAAGTAACACTGAATTTAAGGGGATTTACTGCCAGGTAAGCATATATATGATTTTGTTGTTGTTAGTCGCGAAGTCGTGTCTGACCCATCGCGACCCCGTGGACAACATTCCTCCAGGCCTTCCTGTGCTCCACCATCCCCCAGAGTCCATCCAAGCTCACACCAACTGCTTCAGTGACTCCATCCAGCCACCTCATCCTCTGCCATCCCCTTCTTCTTTTGCCATCTATTGTTCCCAGCATTAGGCTCTTCTCCAGGGAGTCCTTCCTTCTCATTAGGTGGCCAAAGCATTTGAGTTTCATCTTCAGGATCTGGCCTTCTAAAGAGCAGTCAGGGTTGATCTCCTCTAGGACTGACCGGTTTGATCACCTTGCGGTCCAAGGGACTCGCAGGAGTCTCCGCCAGCACCACAATTCAAAGGCCTCAATTCTTCGGTGCTCAGCCTTCCTATGGCCCAACTTTCATATATGATCTAATATATGATTAGAGACTTACTATTTATAAAGGTGTTCAGAGCTGCAACCTTCCTTATCCACCCTGAAGATTTGTTCCAACATTTGGATCGAAAGAAAAATCTGAGAATCTGAGAATTGATAACAGTGATAGTTTAAAAAACAACCAACCAAAGACAAGTAAAAATCCCAAATCCACAACTATAGCTTGATTAAGATCTTTGGTTGGACTTAATAAAGGTGTGCATTTATCAATGCATGCATTAACCATGCATTTTAGTACTTTAAGGGTTGCATGACGAGGCTGCTAGAAATTTAAACTGCAACAGTTAGAGTACATTGTAGGATTTCAAGGCGATAGAACCTCAGAACTGTAAAACAAAAAAACAGAACAGCTGTTGTGGAATCCCAGAAACTATCAAAATCAAATTTTTGAAAGAAAATGAGAAGCCACCTTTGATTCCTCGCCTGGTCCAGTGACCAAGAACACCACAGCCATGTCTTCCTGAGGCCTCTGTTCAGTTCCGTTGCACTTACTGGTGAAGTGGGTGGGAAGGGGCAGCAAACAAGGATTTATTCAGCAGTCACTTTGTTTAATGGGTGTTACTCCCCAGTAATGATGTGAACTTGCAGCCTCAGAACATGGGTTATTACAGCCTCCAATACATTCCTATGCTTTCCCTTGCCAGCGCGCCATGTTTAGTTTGCAGTGATTCATTAAACCTTTGAAGTGCTAGACAGCTCTTTGCTGGTCCCAGGCACTTCCTCATCTGGATTTGACCCTGAAAGACCAAGCAAAAAGTGTGAGCATTTACAGAGTAAGTTTGAAGCAAGCACAGTTTGGGAAACTGCACAGTTTGCTCCCAAAAGTAAGCAAGAGCTGTATTAGCTTGTCTTCTATGAAATTTAGATTGTGGAAATTGTTTCTAATTATGCACATATATCTACTCATATAAATTAGCATATGAAACTTTGGGCATTTTTGGGTTGTGAGCCAGAGCTCTGGATTTAGGTACCTAACAATTCCCCTGTCCTAAGGGAAGGCCCTTTTGCATTCCCATCAACTTGATCTTATTATCTGCCCTAAGACATCAAAAAACTTAATTCAGCTCACCAACTAATCAGAAAAATCTGTATTTGCAGCAGGAAATGCTTAGAAAGAGGAAGAGGGAGAGACTTCAGAAGGGAACTCTGAGCATATACAAAGAAGGATTTCATATATCTGAGCATATACAAAGAAGTTAAAGAGTCACAGCATTGCTGCCATCCCATAATGCTTGTTTTCTAGCTTTTCCTTATTTGGGCAGACTTAACTATAGCTTATTTCATCGCTCAACTCTTAAAAGCGGTGCAGCCAGATCACACAAAGGTCCATCAAGTCCGACATCCTGTTTCCCAAAGTGGACAGCAAACAGCCACAAGCAAGGCCTGGAGACCAGTGTCCTCCCCTGTTGTGGTTTCCCAGAGATTTCATAGGAAATCTGAACACAGCTCATCACCACATGACATGCACGTGCTGTGCCCTGCATACTGACGGAGGCACATACAAGAAAGAAAAAGAAATAGGCGATCTTCGAGAACAACATTCTGCCCGCGCCTTTTATGCCACCTCCCAACAGCCTTTTGACCTCTTCGCCAAACGCAGCAGGAGGTGGAAGGGGCTGTCTTCAGATGTGTTTTGCACTTGAAGAATGAAGACATCAGAAGTTTTTAAAGGATGGGTGTCTTTTAAAAAAAGGGGGTGTGTGGTGCGTTTGGAGGATGAAACCATTCCAAACTAGAGCCACGGGACAGATGGTGGATGTCCTCGGAGATCCTTGGAACCACTTAGGATCTCTATCGAGTCAAGCGTCACCGTTGTGAAGCACGCGCCTTTATCTAACCCGGCGATTCTCACTTTTGCACTTATCAGGATGAGAGAGCGCGCGCCACGTGGGGTGAGGGGAAGTTTGTCCAATGAGTCCTTTCCCGCAACCAACTCCACTACTTCCGAATCACCAAGGGGCGCACACAGGCTTCTCGACTCGAGCGACTCCGGCTCGGGGAACGATCAGCTGGAGAGGCAGACTCCAGCGGCGGAGGAGGAAGGGGATCTGCCCTTTAGTGCAAGCGCGTCACTCTCCGCCTGGACGCGCGGCGGCACTTCAGCCTCGGGCGTCACCGCCAGCGCAACAGCTGCTGGGATCCCGGAGAGCGCAAAACCTCAGCTGAACTCACGGGGAAGATTCCGGATTCCTCCCACTCTCTCCTCCTGCTGCAGGAGGCTTAGTCCCCCGTCCCGCTTCCATCCGAAGGAGGAAGGAACCAGGCAGGCAGGAAAGGAAGGCAGGAACTGGGCGGGCGGGCGAGCAACCGCGGTGCTATAACGACCGACCGACCGACCCACTCACCTCTGCCGCCCCGACGAACTCCATCGCCCCGGCGTTTTCGGGGCATGGCCAGGCCGAGCAGGGCGTTTATCAGGAAGCGGCTTGGGGCCGGGCGGAGTCTCTGCACTGGGGATCGACGGAGCCGGTTGCTGCCTGACGGAGTGACCACGCCGCTTGCTCCACCATCTTCCTTTCCTAGATCGATCAATCACTCGCTCTCCTCACCCCCCTCCCTCCACGCGGGTGCCGGTGCCGCCACCGATGTGCTCTCTGGGAGCTGAAGTCTCGACGAGCCCGCTTTGCCATGCCCATGCGCTTTGTGACAGGGAGGCGGGGAGACTACGAGCCCCATGATGCTCTGCGCGCCGTCCTCTCAGAGACTTGCCGGGACATGTAGTCCCAAGGATCAAGGCGAGCCGTAGGTAAGGGAACTACGATTCCCAGAAGCCCATGGCCTCAGTTGCGGTGGCTTGGCGGAATTTTGAGTTCTTCTCGCTTTCACGGTTCTGGGGGCTCCTGTGAGTCAGGCACATTGTCGCCCTCTGGCGGAGAAACGGTGTGATGACAGGGACTAATTGTAGAATACTGGACAGATGCCCAAAGGGTTATCAAGGTAGAAAGTAAGTTAATACTCGCTTTACTCTTGGCAACCGAGGCGTGCTTTTGCCCACAGGCACATTTGTCACCATACCGTGATCCTCCCATGGGAGAAAATTTGAACTAAAGGTGCAAAGTTGCAAATCTATGCAAGTTTAGACAGAAAAAAGGACTACAACTCCCAGCATGCCCTAGTCAGTTTTAGAATCATACAATAGTAGAATTGGAAGGGGTCAAAGGCTACCAGGTGCTCAGTGCCCAACTCCAAGTTAAACCATCCCCTTCAGATGGCTTGAATGCCTCCTGTGTGGGAGAACACACAATCTCCATAGGTCTTTGGTTCCATTGCCTGCTGCTCTGACAGGAATGATTTTTTTCTTGATATCTGGCCTGAATCTGGCTAGCTGTAATTTGATCCCATTATTCTGTGACCTGCATTCTGGGATGATCAAGAAGAGATCCTGGCCTTCCTCTTTGTGACAGCCCTTGGGGTACTTATAGAGGGATATCATGTCCCTGCTCAACCTTCCCTTGTTGAGGCTGAACATACCCAGTTCTCTCAATCAATTCTCATAAGGCTTTGTTCCCAGACCCTGGATCATCCTTGTTGCCCTCCTCTGGACCCTTTCCAGCTTGTCTGTATCTTTCTTAAACTGTGCTGCCCAGAACTGGACACAGTACTCCGGATCAAACCTAACCAGTCTTGAACCCTAAGAATGGCCAGAATAAACACTCCATTGATAAAGTAGCCGGTGCCTATGGAAACTGATGCTAGAAAAACACAGCTACCCCTCTGGAAAGAAATGGTACGTTTCTTGAGTGACCCTGACTAAAAAGATACTTTTTTGATGAACATCTGAAACACGCCAAAGTGAGGAATGTATCTCACAAAGCAAGTACTGCTGGTGAAAGGACCAGTATGGAAATTGGTACAACTCTGTATGGACAACAGTCCCTCCCTTGAAGATTGTAGCAGCCTGGAAGGTTGGTGTAGGGCTTTATATATTAAACCATACTTTAGTTATCATATAGGGCTCAAAAATCTGTACTTTCAAATATAAAATGCAAGAGCCAAACAGCAGAATCATAGAATTGGTAGGGGACCTTTAGGCCATTCAGTACAACCCTCTGTTCAGTGCAGGAATTTGGTTTAAAATACCGGTGCTCCTTTTCTGTTTTTCTCGACCTCATCCTCTGGGAGCTTTTCTGTATGAGGCATTTACTGGGTGCTTGTTTACCACTTCTAGTTGTTTACAGATTCTTTAGATGACACTGTGACCCTCCAGTTTTGCTTCTGTTTTAATGAGAATTTTTACTGAGGGCTTTTACAGCAAGAAAATGGAGTATTATTTTTGAAATCAAACAAATTTATTTTCCTACTTTTGTAGTTGTGCTACTCAACTATACGGCTGCCTGGGCTATGCATTCTGAAGAATTACAGAAGAATGGATTGAGCCACGGCAGAAAAGCAGGTGTAAGAGCCCAGCTTCGAAAACAAAAACATACTTCCCTACAAATAGGAAAATAGCAAGGCAGATTGTTGGCTGTGTTTGTTTTCTGCCCACAGGGCAACATTTATGTGGGAGAGTAGCAAAGCGTATCATCATCCAGTCTGTGGTCTTAATGATAAGTTCCATTTTAACTTCATCTTTGCAAGGAAGGCAAGGCTTTGCAGCTGCAATTCTGTGCCCAGTTATGTGAAGGTAACTTCTGTTGAGCTTAGTGTGTTTTAGTTTCTAATATGCATGCATAAGGTCTACACACAGTTGCCCTAACTACATTGACTAGGGTATAAGTCTCACTGAAGTATGTGGAATTTCTGAGAAAATATTTATTTATTAGATTTATATCCTGCCTTTTTTCTTGCAAAGAAGTCAAAGCAGCTCATATCACTCTCCTCCTGCTGCTCTCCGTCATATCCCCACAACAAAACCCTGTGAAGTAGGTTGTGCTGAGAGTCTGCGGCTGGCCCAAAATCACCCGGTTTGCTCCATGGCTGAACTCGAACCCAGAACACCTGAGTCCCATGCCTGTGCTCTTAACCACTACACCACACTGTCTCTCAGCTGAATGTGCTCTTGGGGTGACCGTACAAATAACTGTGTCTTTAACTGCTCCATAACTGAAAGGAACTGAACAGGTGTATCCTTTGCTACTGTGACTGTGCTAAAGCAGTCCTTGATTCAGTAAAGAGGAGACTATCAGGTTTCCAAGGAAAGCTCCTTTGAAAGAGAGACTGAATGCCAGATCTGGTTTTAAACACTATGCATGTGACATTTATTCTATGATATAAAGAATGCAGAAGTATAGGAATACAAGTTCAGCGATCATCAGCAACACTATCAAGAGGCCTCATTCACACTCACGTTCATGCAACACTCATACAGCCAATAGACCCTCTCGGTGATCCATCGGGACTGTGGGTGACCAGCAGCAGCGCTGTTCTGGCACGCACAGGAGCTGGAAAGCCCAGTCATTTTATACCTTGTAGTTGATGCTACCAGCTTAGTCCAACTGGATCGAACAGTGAACTCCTCCGAGCAGGGCTGACACACAGAACGTGCTGGTCTTTATCCCTGACGCAGGCACTCTCCTCGCATCCCATTCTCTCTCTGGATGGTACAGCCTGGGCTTATCTTGTCTGTTACGTTCCATTCTCCAGCCACTCCCGGCCTCTCAGTTTTCTCAGTCTGGTTGGTCCCATCATGCTTTTTCATTCTTCATTTTCTTCTGGGTCTTCGGTCTTCAGGAATCCATGCACACTGTGACACTACTCTTGCGGAGAAGCTACACCTGCTGAATTTCTGCATCTCAGGAAGAACATGTAATCATGCTAAATCTAATTTTGCACTGATTTTTTGTGGTGAATAAGTGTGCAAACACACTCAACAAAACAACTGTTTGTGGCATCTACTCCTTAAAATGATATAGTATCAATGAATTCATTTCCAGACTGTGAACTGGTGAATGCCGAGAACCGTAGCATATTTTCTGTCTATACACGCGCAAAATTGCACCCTGAGGCAAGCAGCTCTTCATCTATGTTTGTTGCATGTGATGAAGTGAATTCTAGTCCATGAAATCTTGTGCTAGAATAAAATGTGTTCCCCTTTAAAGTGCAGCTGGAATCCTCTGTCTGTGCAGAAATAAGCAAGCAAGATGCCTGCCTGGTGAAGAGGTGATGGCAGCACTGTGGCCTGAAGGAATCAGTCGGAGGCGCAGACATGGTAGCTTTCCTTCGTCTTCAAGGCCTGTTGGTGGGTGAGGCTGCCTGGCCTTCGCATCTGCAGCCCCTGCTACCTGCTCCTTTCTCTTATGGCATCTCAGCCTGAGTTGGCCTTTGGCTAACTTTCTTCTCTGCTCTGGCTGTGCTGCTGGAAAGGGGTTATAAGAACGTGGGGCGGTAGTAGCTGTCAGGTCACTTACTGGTAGGGGAAGGATCTTGATCCAGGGCCAGCCTGAGCTGGTGTGGAGCATTGCCCAACTTGACCTTGCATCATACTGTTTGGTTAAACCTTGTTTCTTTTGTGCTGGCTGGCTGGGGCCTGGGGCAGGGGACAGCTCATGGCTTGAAGAAAGGAACAGTCAGGGGAAAGTGGAGAGGTTCCGCTTGCGGGTGCCTAGCCAAGAGAAATGCGTTTGATGTGCTAGGGGACCTCAAGCCTCCTGGAGCTCTCCCTCCTTTTCCCATGGAGTTACTGCTAACGCACGTGAGCACTAGGTAAATATTTGGCCAACAGGGTCAGAAGCCACACGTTGCTTCCTGCTGGGATATTCCTGTGCATAAAGCCCGGCTGGCATATCTGCCTGGCCAAGCTGGGAAGACCGGTGCTGCTGGAGAGAGAGTCATGCAGTCTGTGGCTGTGCTACTCCTGGGCTTCCTGTGTACCTTCAGCACAGGTGAGAAAGTCCCCCTGGGTGAGGCGCGTTTCTCCCACATCCGTGCCTCGGGAGAGTGGGGGATTCTTGCTCCCTTCGTGCCTTCAGCATCTGTCCCCAAGGGAGTCCTTCCTCTTTGGTCCTAGGCCACTGCCGCCTCCTAAAGCCTCCTTATATGCCCAGCCGCCCCCTGAGATCGGCGGGAGAGGCCCTTCTCCGGGAGCCCTCCATGGAAGAAGTTAGGAGGGTGGTTACTCGGAGGAGGGCTTTCTCAGCGGTGGCGCCTAAGTTATGGAATGCGCTCCCCAGAGAGGTCCGCCTGGCGCCGTCGTTATTTGTTTTTCGGCGCCAGGCGAAGACCTTTTTATTTAAGCAGTATTTTAAATGTTAATATTATTGAATTTTATTTGGCCAGGGCGGCTTGTTTTATAGTGTATGTTTTATATTATATATTTGTATTTTATTGTATATATTTTAAAATGTTATTTTAATCTTTTTGTTGTAAGCTGCCCCGAGGCTTCGGCGAATGGGGCGGCATAAAAATGTTTTAATAAATAAATAAAAATAAATAAAGCCTCCTTCACGGAGGCCTGCAGGTAGAGGGAGTCTTTTCATAAGCACTTACTTTTGACAGCTATGAAAAGAAAGTGATCTCTGGCAGCCTTTGGGGGACATAGGAAAAGCAGGCGAGATGTAGCTTTCCCCTCTCCAAAAACCCAGGGGCTCAAGACTATTGAAAATGTGGGGGGCACTCAGAATTGTCAGGGCAATACTTTAAAGGATCACAAAGCCACTAGCAGGGAGAAGGTTTTGCCACCCATTTCAGGACAAACCCCCTTTCCCACTTGGCTGCCCAACTGGTGGCTGCCAAATTAATTTCTATGCAGCCTTGCTTTGCCAGTGTCCCTGAATGTTGCCCACTGGATTTTGACAGGAGGCCCTTGCTGGGACACCGGCCAGGCAAGACTCCACAATTCAAGCAATTCTGCGCCAGATAATTGTGCACCTGCGTAAGTCTGATTGTTTTAACCGTTACTGTACACACTTGTATGGCTCCCCTCTTTTAAGGGTAAGCCTGGGCAGTGGCTACAAAGTGCCACTTGGGCCTTGGCGGAGAGGCTGTCCCTGCACTGAGGCTTTGGCATTCTCGCTCGCAGCCTGGTCTCCAGGTCCCTCAGCCTGCAGTGGAATCGCTCTCCTGGGTTCAGACAACATGACAGCCATGGGTTATCAGAATTATATTTGCCCCTAGATAATGCACCTTCGGGGAAACAGCTTAGATTTGGATGTCATGGCAGCCACCCACAATGAGTTTCTGTACTCTGGAAATTGTCACATGCTCCTGCTGTCCAGTTCTCTCATGTTCCCAGATAGCCCTAAATAAGCAAATGAGCAGCAATTTCATGTTACCAGTACATGGTTGCTGTTTCTCTTCTGGCAGCCTTTTAGTGGAGGCACCATAGCTCAGAACTAGAGCACATGCTGTTCACATGGAAAGTCACAGCAGAAGCCCCAGGTTCTCCAAGTAGGTGATGCAAGATATCTTTTGATTTTCTTAATGCTCAACAGCCTTTGACAGATGCACAACAGATAGGCAGTTGGTGAAACTTGGGGACTTACTGCTAAGAAAGGCTCAACCTGTTGACTGCCTATCATGCAGCTGTGAAATGCAAGGGAAACTTGTCCAAACCTTGCTTTTTGCAGCTCCTCAAGTGACGGTTGCCATCTTATGCTTGACTGAGAGTCTGTGCCTGCAACAGCCACGTGAAAGGCAGAAATTCAGCAGCTGATGCTCTGTCCCCGCTTTGCAGCATGCTGGCAAAAAGCTGTGCCAGTCATCTCTGCCAGGCCTGCAGCCGTTAAGCACATATAGAGGGCTCTGTCAGGAAAAATGAAAATAAAAAGGCACAGCCTGGCATGCAGTCTCAGTTGAACAGAAGAGTCGATTCAAAGGCATCTCTTCTTCGTGATTCACTTGATCCATGTGTTTTACCTCTTTTTTTTTTTTTTTTTGAGAGAGAGATGTTTGTGCTCTCCCTTAAAAGCAGCTAGAGTTATATAATTGCACTAAAATCTGCTGCTTTGGGAGGGCTGCAAGAAATAACTCAAATAAAATGCATTAAATAAAGAACCCCATCCCCTTTATCCCCCGCCCCCTTCCTTCTTTTAAAAAACACAGCAGCAGGCTGCAATTGCTCACCTGCTTTGGATGTTTAAACTCCTCTGTTTGGGAGACCCTGCCAGGGCCAGCTCCATGCTTCTGTGGGCAAGGCAAGCTCAGTGGGCCCTTGTCTTTTCAGCCTGCCCTTTGACCACCACGCTTGCCAGCTGCTGTTGCTCCTCGTCCTCTCACATCCGGGGTGCAGCTTGCTTGCTGGACAAGGTGTCTGGGCCAGGGAGCAAGCAAGTTGCCAAGGCAAGGGGAGGATCAATTCCGGGGACTCTTGCCAGTGGGCCCCTCCTGGACTGTGGGCCCTTGGCAGGTGCCCAGCCATGGGGACCCTTAACACCAATCTGGAATCCTCTCTCTCTCTCATTCTCCCTGCTCTTTTATATGTAGAACCTCCTAACATTTGGGAATCACCATGCCTCTGTGGCAGCCATTTTGTAGTGACAACGCCTCATGTGAGGCTGCAACCCAGTCTGTGGGCAAGATCTTTCCCCCTTTGGAAGACTATGGGAAGCTAGTTAGGGAGAGTCCGGCTGGTCCTAGTCTGCCATGTGCACTGAAGCATACTGTATGCCTGGGCTGTGGATACCGGGAATGCTGAAGGTACTTTAAGAGTGATTCCTTTACTCGGTTCCTTCTGGCTTGTCAAACTTTCATTTACTTTTGCATGTTGATGCCCAGAGAGTTCCCTTTGACTTGCCCCAAAGCTTGCACATGCTCAGAGGGTACTCTGTTCATGTCTGAAGGGCAGAGGAATGTAGGCAGCTGCTTTACAGCATCAGATAATGATTCCACTCAATTCAGCATCATCTGCACACTGCTGGGATGCAAATAAGAATGCAGGGATGCAATTAAAAATCTTTTCTGACCTTACTTGGGACTGAACCTACAACCTTTTTCATGTAAGATGTGGACTCTCCCATTGACCTCTAGCCCTGTGCTCTGCTTCCTTGGCATCACAGATTGCTCATTTGATACATTTGACCAAACTCTGATTTGGTCCCTGAAACCTCCAGGCATGGCAGGAGAACCTTCTACCTGAATCCCTGCCAGTCACTACCAACAGTACAGCTTCCCACGTGGTTCCTTGGATTGTGGCCTTGGTGTGTGTGTGTGTGTGTGTGTGCGCGCGTGCGCACACACACGCACGCACGCACGCATGCACGGTTGTTTGGTACTGTTTGGATTCTGGTTCCTTTGCAGGGAATAAGCTTGACTCATATTTCTATATTTTTTCCAGGCCAGCGTTCTCCACTTAATGACTTCCAAAGGCTGAAAGCTATCCAGCTGACCCACGGGTCCCAGCTGAACTCAGAGCGACCCATGGCAGTAGCAGAGTGTGCACGGAGATGTGCAATATTGCTTGACTGTCGGTAAGGGGAGAGCTGTGGGCACGTGAGCTGCGACGGTCGGCTGCAGGATCATACAGGGATGCACACAGGGAGGCCCTGCCCTGGTCAGGGCATTGTCTAGCCTGGTGCTGTTTGCTAAGCACCAGCGGCTCTGTAGGGTAGGATTCTTAGCATGATCCCACCTTTAGTGGTATCTGTGGAAGGGGTTCCAAAATACTTCCCACAAGCACATAAATTTGCATTTTAAAAAATCCGCATAGTTTGTTACTATACATGCATGAATTTGTAAGAAATGCATGAAACTTTCTAGCAATTATACCCAGGCTTCAGCAGAAGCTGAGAAAATATCCAAGTATTGTGCTAATATCCTTTTGAAGTTGGTATCTTTAAGCCACCCATTCATACATTAAAAATACTGTAAGTCCTCAGTCTGTTGCATTACAAGAAGTGGGTGTTATCCTATCCTTGTCATATGTAATATCAATCTTTTAGCTGTCCGAAGGACACAGAGAAACCATTCCCTCTTCCATGAAACAGGTAAATAATTTAAAATGAACAAACACATCAGTGAGTAATACAGTATGTTCCAATACAGAATTTATCTGTGTAATAACCTCCTTCCAAAAAGAAGCAACTACTGGAAATTACCAAAACGTATGTTCAAACGGGGCATTAGCTGTACTGCACTGCCAGCAATTAGATTGAATCAGACAATCCAGTGTGGTGGAATCAGACAATCAGAGAGCCAGTGTGGTGTAGGTTAAGAGCGTGGGACTGGGACTCAGACGACCTGGGTTCTAGTCCCCGCTCAGCCATGGAGCCAGCTGGGTGACTTTGGGCAAGTCACAGACTCTCAGCCCAACCTACCTCACAGGGTTGTTGTTGTGGAGATAAGATGGAGGAGGAGAATGATGTAAGCTGCCTTGAGTCCTTTGTAGGAAAAAGGCAGGATATAAATGGGGGGGGGGGGGAATCCCTTTCAGCTTCAACACACCTAGGCAAAAGGGGGATAACCTCGTTAGGAAGATACTGCAACTCCTGAGCAAATGTTAATTACAATCAGTCAGGTGTGGGAAGCCAGCAGAAGCAGGAGGAGGCAAACAAGGCTGGGAAGTAGGAGCCAGAGAAAAAATGTATGTGAGGCATGGGCCTGAGGCAGGTGGGCCAGAAGTGAGGCTTTCTCAGGCATCTCTCTAATGCCTCCCCCTCCCCCTCCATTCCAGAGCTTTTAATTACAACCTGCGGAGTCAAGGGTGCCAGCTGCTGTCGCTGACCCAGCATTCGCCAGGCGCCCAGTTGCAGAGGAATGTCCACTATGATCTCTACCAGAAGAAAGGTAAGAGGACGTCTCAGGCCCTGCAAGGAAGAGAATTTGACAAAACCAAGGCACTGCCTGGCTGGGGCAAGGCATGCTGGGAGTTGTAGTAGTCCAACAGAGCTGAAAGGAAATGCTGATGCAGAGCAAGTAAGGGAGGAATACTGATAAAGGTATTGCTAGGCTCCCTTGGCATGGTAGGGTGGAAGTTCTGTAGGGATTCCTGCTGGGGTGCGGGGCTGCCAGGGGAGGCGTGAGGGAGAGGCCGGCATGAGGTGCTCAGTTGCCCAAGCGCCCCACATGAAGGAACCTGTGGAAGGCCGCCTGGCATCGAGCTGGCCACGTGACAGGGCCTTGTCCCTGAATCAGCAATGCACACACATGAGGTTTCTGTAGAAACGTCTTGAGCTGGGCCTCATATTTCATGGCCTTTTCGCCCCACTGTTCCTATGTATGCCTGCCTATATATCTACATACGTATGTAATGCATAGTCATGTGTTCCTCCTTGCCCCAGGCAGAGAGTAGTTCCAGGGGTACCACCTTACCCAAGTTTGGTTTCCTTTAGAAATATAACTCTCTGTAGGCATATAGAGTTCTGATATGGGGTTTCATTTACAAAAATGCAAACTGAATAAGGGCAAGCAACTTTTTTCCTCTGGAGGGCTGCATTTTCTCATGCGAAATTTGTCAGGGGCTGCATGGTGGTAGTGCCTTGGGCCAGAGCCGAAAGTGGGTGGGCAATGCCCCATCGTCTCTGCCACTCCTTTCTGGGCAGACTGCTATAGAAAGACCAGCTTCCTCTTGGCAGAGGGTGAACTGATCAAATGCAGAGGGCTGTTGAACTTAGACTGAGAGCAGCAAGGAGCAAAGCCTCAGGCCTCAGAGGAGGGCAGCTGAGGTAGGCTGTAGGTGGAGGCAAAGGGCATAAGGATTCCTACTGCTAGCAAATCTGCCTTCTCATCAGGTCTCCTCAGCAACCATATGCTTCCAGTCTGCCAGTCCAGAGCTGCCTCTGCATCCCTGTTCATCTGTATACACAGTGCTTTTCTTGCTCTTTCAGATGCACCTCTCGGGGAGGGGACGGTTATGGCACCTGCTTCATTCAGGACTCCCAAGGAAGAGTGGGCTATTTCCTGGCTAATGGGGCAACAGCCAAAGGCCATTTGGGGGCAGTAGCTAACCATTTCCCTTCAGCAACCTGCTGCCAGGAATCTCTGGTCATAACAAAATACGGATCTGCCAACTGCAGATGCAATGGATGATGTGAACTCTAGTGTGCAAAAGCATATGCTACGATACATTAGCTTGCCTTTCAGGTACCACAGGACTTTTTAACAAGTTTGCTTGAGAACCGATCACAATTTGGCCCTCAGTATATTACAGCAAACGACGTTTGAAAGAAAGCACTTATAGCAGAAGTGTATGTTGGGATTAGCTCTGGCAGCTGTGCTGAGCTGTCAGTTAACCTGTTCCCTCTGCACTGTTTACCCATTTGCAGCTACAGTGAGGAAAAAAGGCAGGGATGATGCAAATCCTCGTCCTTTCCTCATCTGGGCTGAGAGGAGAGAGTAATTTTGACGGGGAAGCAGCACTGAGGACAGGGTTAAAGTGGCACCCCCTCCAGCAGCCCTGAGCCTGCTCTTGGCCCCTCCCCACTGCTGCTGCCACGCGTCAAAAGATACATCCGAAAATGCCCCATGGGTCCTGGCATGACCCTACATGGCCTCTCTTCAGGAAGTGACTCGACCCAAATCTTCGTGACCTCATCCCTGAGGAGGGCTGTGTGCCGTCTGCTGGGATGGCTCCTGGAGAAACAGCTGTGAGACTCGGAAAGCGCAGCTACTCCAGCCCAAGGACTGGGTGGAGTGTGGTGAGAGCAGTGACCTGAGGGGGGGCAGTGGAGCCACCCAGAGCGTCTGTGGGGCCTGAGGCAGGTGCCATGTTGGTGGCTGTCCCACAAAGAGCCGTGTCTGTTCACAAAGCTTTGGGGTGGCATATAGGGATTTTTGCAGCAGGCTGGTGTGCCTGGGAGCTGATGCTTCCCTGAGGCCTGGGACCAACTGCCCTGTTGCCCCACTTCCTGGGCAGCTCTGAATCCGTAGGAAGTATTTTTTTGTGGGTTGGGAGCAGCTCCTATGCCAGGGCAAAGAAATCCTCTCAGCAGCCCAGAAGAGCTGCAGATTAATAGAGCAGCACATGGGTCCATTCAACACAGCATGTTGGGGGGAGGCAGGTTTCACTCTGAAACCTAAAACAGGAGATGTCAAAATAGTTCATAGTTAAGCAGAGAAGACCTGTGAACACCCTTTCATAAACCCCATGTTTGCCAGGGTTGACTGACTGGTTTGAAAAGGCTACTGTGCTTTTCTACTCTGATTCCACAGCAGACACGCAGCCTGTGGTGATTCAGATAGTACCTGAGCCAATTATATGAAAGGATTGGCAGATTCTACCTTCTCCTTCTCTTAATCTCAGGAAGACCGGGTGGGACCCTGCCTTGTCCCCCCGCCTAGCCTCGCACTAGACTCCTGTGCCCCATGCCTCGTGCTTAAGTTTTGCCCGCGTTCGCCTCAGCTGTCACCTCTCCCCTCCACAGGTTATGTGAGAGAGTGCATCAGGGGCAATGGGGCAGACTACAGAGGGACTCAGTCCACGACTGAGAAGGGGAAAACCTGTCAGCACTGGCAGAAGCGGTATCCTCACGATCACAGGTAAGGATCATTTCTGTAAGGCAGGCTCAGAATTGGTCACTAGGAGATTGTGTACAAATCCCAAAAAGAAAGTAACGCATTAACACACAGGGTGGGCTTTGGGTGGGGGAGTGGCTTGGGGGTTGTCGCAGGTTGAACATTTGGGGAAAGCAGGACTCTTGTCCGTGCTGCCTCAGGCAGGGTCTCCCGCACAAGATATTACGCCCCTACTCTTCTGTAGGTATCACTTTTCTACGGATCATGTGTATGGTTCTACGGCTGGACTTGACTTTGGGCTTTTTTCCCTGGAATATGATCCAGGAGATAGGTAAATGCTTCCTACTAAAATTTATTATGTTATCTATCGTAACTATTTATCTTGCATTAAGTGCTGTCATTGATGTCGCTATATTTATATCCTGCCTCTTTTCCTTTTGTTGAGCACCCAAAGCAGCTTGCAGCAATGCTGTGAGGTAGCCAGCCCGAGACATACCCTAGCCACAGTCCTGGGCACCCTTGCTGGGGAGTCCGCCACACAAGGCACCACAAGACTGGTGCCTGGCTCAGCGCCCGCCGGAGCATGCTGTCAGTCCCCACAGTGTTCCTTGCGCTGTCCCGAGAGGTGCTGCGAGGAGCAGTGCTCTGTGCAAAGTTGTTACTAGGATCGGTAAGCCAGAGAGAGGATCTTCTTGAATGTGAGTGTCCCATGTCTGCCTGACCCTTTTAGGGGCCTACCTGAGAATTTCTGTATTCCTAATCAGGCATTCTTTCCATGGGAACGGCTAACGCATAAACAGCAGCGCAAGAGGCACACAAGGATGGGAAAGAGGCAGGAAGAAGTGAAACCAGTAACTGTGGTGTAGACGCAGCCTGGAAATGGCTGGAGCATGGACTTTTACACATGCGCAGCTTCTGCTGTTCCTATGACATCCTTGATTAGAGGCCTTCTCTTCAGCACTTAAGTTCCTGGCTTGGGGAAGGGAAAGAAAAGGCCGAAAACAATCACCCCCAACCATCGGCCAATGTGCACATGAAACATTTCCCAAATGAAAGGGTAAATTCTTTGGAGTTTCCCAGGAGGCTAAAAAGCAGGATGCAAATTTAAACTTAATTTCCACCAGCATGAAGTAAGCAAGCTACTTTATGCTGATCTGGGATAATTGTCACTATTGCTTCTGGTTTCAGAATTCATGGCTGCTGGTCAAGTCATTGGAGGACTGATTTTGCAGAGTATGCTGCATCAATTGCTGGCAGGATAACTTCCATTTGGAGCCTTTATCTGAGGTTGTTACTTTCCTCTGTATCTGTCTCATAAGGTTTGCTGCATCAATATATACCGGACTGGAAGAAAATTACTGCCGGAATCCAGATGAGGATGAGAACGGTCCCTGGTGCTACACTACTGATCCTGCTGTCCGGTACCAAAGCTGTGGTCTCCAGAAATGTGAAAATGGTGTGTCAGTTGAGTCGAGATACCTGCAGGCAGTCAGCTGAGCAATTGCTTTGCATGACACAAGTACCCTGGGCAGCGGCGTCAAATAATTCATGCAGTTGCAGCTGGCCCTGCATGCATATTGGCTCTTGCAAGCATGTTTCCACTTGCCTCCTCCTCCTCATCATCATTACATTGAGGTACCATCCAACAGCCAGAGCCCTCTGGGCTGTTCACAACAGCACATTGCCTGGTTTCCACTGCATTCTGCCTGTTCCTGTCTACTCAGCGTTCGATGCTTGCTTGTGCTTGCTCCGTGTCTGGAGTTGTCCATCTCTCAGACGTGTGCATGTGCACACACACACACGAGAGAAAGAACGTTCTCAGCTCACCTGGCTTTGTCTGCTGCCTACTTACGATCTGCCGCATGACCATGCCTGCTTTGCAGTTGTCGGGTGCACTTGCACACAGCTGTTTCCCAGATGAGCCACACTGCTAGCTGAGGCTTCTTCCACATCCATCACAGACGGTGACTCTCTGCCGTTGCCTTGCAGCCAAATGCGTGTCATGTAACGGCGAGGACTACCAGGGCTTCGTGGATCACACGGAGTCGGGCACGGAGTGCCAGCGCTGGGACCTGCAGCATCCGCACAAGCATCCCTACGAGCCAAACAGGTACTGAATTCCAGTCCTTGGGTAACCTGCTGCGGAATGTTCTTTATTGTGGGGCTTCCTGGCAGACACAGGAATCTGCCCCATGCCTGAGCAGAGCCTCCCAGGGAACCGCTCAGCTATTGTTTTTGGCTGGGGGGTTGTGGTCAGTGTCCGTGCTGCCCCAGTCTCCTGTCGCATCTTTCCCACTTGGGAAGGGCCATGGCTGAGTGGCAGAGCATCCACCTTGCATGCAGAAGGTCCCTGGTCAGTGCAGGCAGTCCTGAACCAGACGGGCTGAAGATCGGTCTCATTCTTGGGTGGCTCCTTATGCTTCTCTCCCTCGCTAGCGATCTGATCCACACAAACGGACATCAGGTTCTTACCAGCTTGTAGCTGTTTTCAGCCTGAACCGTGTGAAGTCTTCATTGTGCTGTGAACCATTTGGAGGCATCTACTTGTCATGCAATATCATTGACTTACACCCCATGATTTCCATTCAGAACCATTTCCTGGCATTTTTGGAACTGTGCTGAAAATCAGGGGGAGCGTCGGTCAAATGGCTACCTAGGAATGCCATCCTTGAGCTTCCAGCAGCCACTGGAGGGCTGCATGCACGTGGCCTGGGCATGAACTGAGCTGGAGGGCGAAGGCACAATTCAAGGGGCGGGATTTTTCTGCTGCATCACGGAGCAGCCACCTTGCATGGCTTCCTACAGCCGGCCCCGCTCCATTGTGGCAGCCTCTCGGAGCACCGGCTTCCATTTCTTCCCAAAAGGCATGTGCTCCCCCGGTTTGCTTCTGCTGCTCAGTGATATGAAATGGTTTGCAGTTATGCAAACTGAATTTGTCTGAACAAGAGTCATTCCACTCCTGGAGCAGTGGCGGGCCCAGCTGGATCGGCATTGCCAGGGCTTTTCTCCATGAGGCACGCGCGGTATCTTTGTTATTCCCCACTGTTTGTGGGTTCTTCAGACAGCAGCGGGACCTGCCACTTAGTTTCTGTCTTTAACCAGTATGGCTTAGTGAGCGTATAGGACTGGGGAGCTGGAAGATCTGGGTTCTAGTCCCCACTTGGCTATGAAACTCACTGGGTGACTTTGAGCCAGTCACTCACTCTCAGCCTAAGCTTCCTCACTGAGTGGTTATTGTGAGGATAAAATAGGGCTCTGTAAGCCACAGTGGCTTTTTTATAAGAGGGAAAAGAGCAGGATATAAACGTAGTAGTAATAAGAATGACCATCACTTTCAGCAAGATTTCTTAGAGCAGGGGTAATATGGCATTTAACTGAGAAAGTAAAAGTGCACTTTCCTTTCTTGTGTTTCTGCCGTTCTACTATAGCAGGCTGACACCTAGAGGTGACGTCACAGAAAAGCAGGAAGGACAATGCTCTGTGTAGTGCTTGGCTTTTAGTTCTGTTGTGAAACCAAAACCCGGCTGTGGACTAACAGCCTAATTCAGCGAAGTTCTTAGAATAAGTGCTGTTTTGTATGAAGAAAGCAGAAGCACAGAGCCTTCTCCCTGCAGCAAGTTAAGGCTTGCCACAAGAGTAAGTGACAATGGAAGCCATGAAAATCTTGTTCCCTTTAAAATTTGCTTCTTTTTACTGCATGTTTTTAAAGATACCCTGATAAAGACCTTGCTGACAACTATTGCCGCAATCCTGATGGTTCTGAGCGCCCTTGGTGTTACACGACCAATCCTGCCAAGCAGCGGGAGTTTTGCCAGATCCAGAAATGCAGTAAGTCTGCAAGAAGTTTCAGGTTCCACCTGAGAACAGCGACAGTTTGGCTCTGACCATGGCAAGGATGGGGTCAAGTGGAAAGGTAAGTTTCTAAGGAAAACCCATCAGGAGGCCCTCACCTGCTGCATTTTCCTTAGAGACTCACCCTCTGAGGTGACAGCATCCCTTTTGTGGTTGGTGACATAAGATCTATATCAGTTCTGAGATTTTGGGCTTGTTTCACTTAGCCAATTCCGCCTGTAAAGGTGACTCAGGTTGGAGTAGGGGTGTTCAGCAGTGCCTCGGGTTGCAGGTGGGATGCAAAGCGGAGAGAGGGCCCAGCAGCCCTTTCTTTCCCACTACTGCTTTCCCTCCGCATCTGATAAAAGCAATTTGATCCACTTTGACACCTTCATTCACTCAATGGCCTTCCACAGCTGAACGCAGCTGCTCCTTAACTGGGCCACCTGCTGACTGCCCGGAGCTCCAGGCGAGTGACAAAAGCTACTCTGCCTCTCCGCCCTCTTGCCACTGCTTGCATGTTCAGGAGGCCAGACAGTGACGGCAGCGAGGAGGGCAGAAGGAGGCTCTTGGCTGGGCTGTGGGTCTGGGCAGGAACCCAGCAGTGCCTCCCCAGACACCAGCTGCAGCTGAGAGCCAATGCAATGGAAGGCACGGGGAATTTTTGCTCTCTCAGTTAATTGGAAGGGGAATCTGGAAGCGTTTGTGGAGGCCAAATGGTTGTTAATGCATTTAGAAGGCCTTGGCCAGGAGTGTTTGAGGGCGTGGAGGCAGCCTAATTTGTCTTCAGACCACCACCCACTAGATGCCCATGATACTCTTTCTCAGTCATACACAGTGTAAACTGCACTGAGACTCAGGTACATTTAGGCTGAGATTTTGATTCTGTTTGGACGGTTTCTCCTTTCTGCACCCCTGAAAGCGAAGGAGGCAGAGAAAACTCAGCAGCCCTCTACGACAACCAACTGCTACCGGCTGAAGGGAGAAGGCTACCGTGGCAAGGTGAACTTCACAACATCGGGCAGCCCCTGCCAGCGCTGGGACTCGCAGACGCCTCACCAGCACAACTTCCTACCGGAGAAATATGAGTGCAAGTAGGCACAGAGTTGGGGAGAAGAGGCACGCACGCAAGGAGAGGGGGACCACCTGGGAATGCTGGACAGCAAGGGTGCCTCGCCTGGACAGCGGTGGGCATGGGAGCAGTTTCTCTGCCAGGGGGTCGCTGTTGCTGAAATAATATGACAACAGACTACAGTACAAGCTGGCTGAAAATTATGGGGCTGTGATCCAACATGACTGGAGGGCTACAGCTGGGGAAGGCTGCATCAGTGAGACTGTTGAGGGGGGAGTTCTACGCCCTCACAGAATCTCAGGGCCTTTAGCAGGCACTCAGCAGGTGTAGCTTTGCACACAGCATCACCAGGAGAAGGATCAAGCCTTAGGAGAAGCCTTTCAGCTGGGGCTGGAAATGGCAGGAGCCAGGAAGCCACCGAGTGGCTGGCTGGAGAGCAAAAGGGGGCGGGGAAGGGGAAGGGGCATGGCCTCCCAAAGGCGACTAGGGGTTTTTTTCCCCCTACAGACAGGAAATATAATTTAAATCAACAGGTAGCAGGATCCCTGGGTGATCTTATGGGCCCTGTAGCCAATCACTACACTTTTAGCCCCCGGCTCTATTTACCTTGAGTAAGCGGGCCAGACCGTGTGAATGTACCTCAATGGTGCCCTGACTATGTAATGTTATTATGACTAAGAGGTACTGGCAGAAGCTACCAATCTTCCCACTGCTTCCTCTTCTAAAATCTTCCCAAGATGCCAAAGATGTATGTTATGAGTACCTGGCTAACTCTGACAAAGCTACAGAGGTATGCCTGCCATACGGCTCAGAGCATTTTTGACAAAACAAATGGCATTGCCAGATTCTGGGTCACTCAGTACCCTGCTGCAGTGGCAGCATAAAAGAGGTGGCATTTAACATCCCTGGCACAGGGATGTTGAGGTGCCCTGCAGTTTGCCCAAGCCTAGGCTGGCGTCACTGCAGCAGACGCCTGAGCCGGGAGCTCCTTCCTTGGTGAGGCTGGGTATGCCAGGCGGCTGATAGTCTGTCTTGCTCTCTCTAGAGACCTGAGGGAAAATTACTGCCGGAACCCTGACGGTTCAGAGGCCCCCTGGTGCTTCACCACGCTACCGAATGTGCGGAGGGCCTTTTGCTTCCAAATCAAGCATTGTGTTGATGATGTTGCGGTAGAAGGTGAGACTGGTCTTCCGTAGCTGGGATGTCATGGGAATCTTGCAGGAGTGGATTTTTTCCCACCAGCATTGGAGATATTTTGATGGGAAATATTGGTAGAGAGGCATGAGTCTATGTCTATGTGCCTATGTGTAACTTCATGTAAGCTTCACCCTGTGCACCTGATTGCCTTCTCAATCTTTGCATGTTCAATGGGAAGAGTTTCCTGAAGCTGTGCAGGCACACTCAGCAGAAAGTTCTTAGGCAGCTCTCACAATGGAATGCCTCGCTTCTCAGGTACCCTAACTGCTTCCAAGCAAAAACACACAGTCTTCTGCAGGCCTTCCTCCCAAAGTCAGTGCACACCCATATCACTTCTTTAATTCTACTTCTGCTCAGGTTAGGGCCTTCTTAGGCCTGGAGAGGGAATGAGGTAGGGCAGGCAGTGGTGCTCAGGTGGGTCTTTTGTCTCCACAGACTGTTACCATGGAAATGGAGAAGAATATCAAGGCACTGTTAGCAGGACCCGGAAAGGAATCAGCTGCCAAAGGTGGAAGGATCAGTCACCTCACAAACCCCAGTGAGTGTGTGTTTGCAGCAGGCCCTCTGTTGGACCTCTGACAAGCAGTTGTGAAGAAGCAGCAAAGGCCGGGGCGAATCAGTGCAACCAGCCAGGAATGGAACGGCCCTCTCCCTTGACGCACTGACAGGGGCGTTGGGAGTGCGCGCACGGCTGATGGTCCTCGCTTGTCCATCTCACCCATTCAGTGAGGGCTGAATTAGACATTATGCTAAATGCATCACTAGAAACCACATGAGGGTTTGGGTTTGTTTCTTAAACATCAGTGGCAAGTGTGGGTGTGGGGTGCAGTTTTAATCAGAACAGCACATGGTGAGGGGGGATTTAATGCGAGTTGTGAAGGCCCGGGAAAATGTGTGAAAAGTGTGTGCAGGGGTGGAGGAGAGGGTAATGGATTCTGAGGAATAACTAGGAGGAACCATGGCTTTACTGATGACACAAAAATCCAGCTCGGGGGAGCCTAGCATGAGTAAAGTGCTTTGGCTCTCGAGAGACCGATCCTGGCATCGTTACTGTCAAGTTGCTGGCGTGGTATTGGCACAGAACTGGTGCCAACAGCACTGCTCTGCATCCCTTTGTAACAAACCTGGACAGGTCTTGCTGCAGAGGGAAAAGTCTTGAGAGACCAACAGAGCTAGTCACTCACTTCAGAGGGAAGGGGGAAGAACAGGCATTAGTACTGGGAAGGGAGGAGCACGCAGCCTTCCGGGAATTCAATGGAAGACGAAAGGCTCACAAAATGGTGGGTCGCTGTTGCAGGAGATGGGAGTCTTGTCAGCTTTGAGCATGTTCTGAAAATAGCCACAAGGAGGTGCTGCTGCATTTGAGTGGCACCGCATGGCTGTTTTGAGCCTCTGCAGAATAAAATGAAACCTACCAAATTAATGTGAAGGCAGTTTTACATGATTGGTGGCTGGCATCACGGCTGCAGAGAGCAATGCTGGCCATCACTGTGAATGTTCAAGCCACGGTGGGCAGTTGCTATAGCTTCTCACGTTATGCAAACATTGGCTGGCTGGCTGGCTTGTTACTGTGGTTAACCAGCCACCCCAAGCCCATGGACTGTTCTTGGGTTCTGGGGTAGCTTGTTAGCCATATTAGCAAGCCACCCTGCCCAGATCTGCATAATAGCAAGGAAGGCTGGAGACTCTGATGTTACTGGGACTCTTTATCCATTGCAACTTTTATTCTGAACCTTACAGGAACTATCTATGGTGTTCCATAATGGAGAACCTGTTCTGGGGATGAAGTGCAGCATCATGGAGAATTCCTATAAACTCCAGAATAAAAGCTCCAATGGATAAGGAGTGCACTGGCACCCCACTCACCAGCCTTCCTGCAGCCACTGTAACTTGGAAATTCACAGGGGCAGCGGGCCGGCTGCTGTTGCTTCTTTTGGTCATGCTGCTGGCTGTTGATCATGCCAGCTGGTCCAAAGTGGCAGGCCAGGAGGGGGTTCTGTTGCCTGTCATGTTGATGTCAAAGATGCTGGTCTATTGGTGTGTGTGAGACATTTGTGCAACCGTGAATATCGGAAAAATGCAATACTGCCAAGTGGAAATGCCAGAGGGATCCACATATGTGTTAGATGAAAAGGGCATCTCCAGGAAGGCCCTGAGGGTGTAGGGAATGGGAGCTGGCCCAGTGGTGATGTGCTGGCGGGACCATCATCCTTCCTTTCTTCTAGAGACTTCCCTACCATGCTCCCAACGGTGCGTCTTGAAGAGAACTATTGCCGCAACCCTGACAATGACAGCCATGGGCCCTGGTGTTACACCATGAATCCCAACATCCCATTTGATTACTGTGCTATTGAGCCGTGCGGTGAGTATCCAAGGCAGGGCTCGTGGTCACGTGAGCTGCTTCGTCCGCTCGGCTCGCTGTGTCTTCTGCCACGAGGCAGAGCAGGCCAGGAGCAGGACGCTGGCTGCTCCCAGCACTCCAGTGCCACCGTTCTCCAACCTCTCTACCAGTGGTGGGCGGATGGTGCCTCCCTGTGGTGACCTAGTGCTGCAGGCATCCTGACTCAGGGCCCAAGGCCTGGAGAAACAGTGCCCAAACTGGCACCAGCGGCCATGATGGAGAGTACAGCAAACCTGGTCTCCTCATGCCCCGGGAATGGGAATGACTGGCTACGCATCTCAATAGGCTCTCTGGTGTTTGGCTTCTTGGCAGCTTCTTGGTGCACCCCTTCCGTGTGATCTTCGAGGGGTATGGCTGGGTTGCAGGTTTCGTTCAGCACATTTCCTGCAACCTGTTTGCTAAAACTGCAGTTGTGCAACCAGTTATGTAGTGCACCCCTTCTGAGCTTCTCCCTTTCCTTCCCAAAGCCCATAATTTGAACACGGGAAAGGTACAGGGAATAAGATTGGACAAATTCAGAGACAGCACCAGGACTGAGAGAGGAAGACCCCAAACCAAATGGCATATATCTCCTTTAGTCCTTCCCCCACTTCCCTGGGTGGAGATTGCAAAAGAATCTCCTGTTTTTGTGTCTGCTGATTGCCTAGAAATAGTTTCATCTGGACTCTTCAGTGAGATAGTTTCTAGAAACTTCTTATTGTTAGGTTCCTGGGTGGTTTATTAGTCCATAGGTCTGCATTGCAATGAGTCTTTAGCAGAGATGTACAGCTAATTGAAAGCGGGAGGTTTCTTTCTCTTGGATCTGGGTAAGATGGGCTTAGTAAAGCCTGGCTGTGAGAGCCACTCCGAGCTGAGCATAACAATCTGCCAAGATCTTTTGTGCTCTCCTTCTGCTCTTGTTAGCCATTGCTGTGAGGACTGTGGCCAAATTTGCCATCTATGAATTTGCATCTGTTAGATGTTTCTATTTTGCATCCATTCATTTGTGTATTTGTAACACAGTAACTCCCTTGAGCATTTTGATACTGGAACCATATTTGGTACATGCACTCAGGGCATACCTCTATCTTTCAGATTCAAAACTCCATCTCAACCAAGCAGCTATTCTCAAAGGGGCCAGGAAAGATGTAAAGCTCAGTGCAATGGAATATACTGCTAGATAAATGTTTACCATAGGCACAGCATAGATGATGCCTAGCCGTCTGGGTATTACTGTACTCCAGTTCCCATCAGCACCAGCCATGTGGACAACGGTTGGGGTGATGATGGGAGCTATTGTGCCAAAAGATCAAAAGTTTCACTCTTGGTTTATACCATTATTTTCCAATTGAAGTCCAAATATTTGTGCTCTAATTTGCAAAAGGAAAGGTACATAAGACAAGAGGAAGTAAGGCATTCTCAGTGTTGTGCCTTCTTCACACAGTGAAAGTTACACTTCTTCAGTATTACATTTCTGGCCCTTGTGTCTGTAGAGATAAACATGAATATGAATAGCTCCGAAGTCCAGAATGCCAGACAAACTGTTGCTTACCTTTTTTCAGCACCCTGTCAAAACATTTGCTGTTTCACCTGCTGAAGGCAGGGCTGTGGAGAAGCCAGTTGCTCTTCCTCCAGCCTTCTGGGTCCAGGTCTGCCTTGTCCTGAGCAAGAAATCCCAAGAGTTGCTGCTCACAGCTTAGCTTTGGTCTGGTGTGCACAGGGCCTTTTAATCTAATGGCTGCTAACATCAAGCAGTGACTTGCATTGTGTAAGGCTCGTGTGTGCGTGTGCGTGTATAAGCAATGCAGATGGTGCTTTCATGGGGTCAGTTCAGCTGTCAGTCTTCAAGTATGATCTCGACAAATCGAGTGGTGGGCTTGTATAAGTCAATCTGTCCCGTATTTTATTTCTGCAGCTGGTGAAAAGAAGCCATCCATCTTTCTGAACCCAGGTAAGTCTTTTGTGCAGGATGCCTGTGACTGTGATGTGCTGGAACCTTTCTTGGTGAGAAAGGAGTGCAGCTGGGTTGGGGAAACTGATCACAGTTTTCATTCATGCCTTCAGCTCTTGCCATCACCTCCTTTGGAAGTGGATGTTTACTTTTAAACCACAATGTCTGGATTTATAAAACATTACAGCCCACATTCAAGAGTTAAAGTATGGCTTTACAATGGCTTGTCATTTGAACCATGGTTTGTTGTTAAAAAAACCCCTTGGTTCTTGTGTTATCTGAACCCAGCCAAGGTAATAAGACATGGTGAACAACCCATAGTTCACAGCTAAACAACAAACCATGGGTTCTTTTCATGGTTAAAAAAAAACCATCATTTGTTAGCATAGCTGGGTTCAAAAGCAAACCATGGGCAGCCACCACTCAGCTCATACTCAGCCTTCAAGAAGGGGTTATGTTGTCTGAACCTAGTCACTGTCATGAAGACACTGTACTTGACTTTGCTGTAATGTCCTGGTTTCAGAGAACATCATCTTTGACCAGTGTGGCCAGAGGGATGACAGAATGCAGTCACGGGCTCGTGTTGTGGGTGGGCGCCCTGGGAACTCACCTTGGACCGTCAGCATCCGCAATCGGTGAGGCAGCCATGAGCAGTAGTGGTGGGGACGGTAAGGGAGTTTCTAAGGCCGGGGGTTATGAAAATGACTGCCTTGCTTGGTAGAGGCACCCATGCAAAGTAGAGTACATGCAAAGTATTCCAGAGAATCTGGCCAGCAGGAATAGGTGCTGATGGGAAAACTGTCAACTCGATTGTTCTAATCCTTCAAGAAGAGATCCCAGCCTTGTGACTTGTCCCAGCTCCATTTATTCATCTTCATGGCCCAAAATCTTCTGTGTTTTCCTAGCCTGAACGTGGGTGAGAGCACAGAGGCCAGGCAGGTGGGGTGCCAAGGGGACCAGCTGCTGTGTGGCTGCGGAGGAAGGGCTGGTGTGCTCGCAGTAGAGCAGGCAGTGTTGGATGAGGGGTGGCGGCCCTGCAGGGGACATGGGATCAGTACAAGACCTCTGATTCTCGCTCCCATGTACTGTGCCGTTTTCTGGTGTCCAGGGAAGGTGTTCACTTCTGCGGCGGTTCACTGGTGAAAGAACGGTGGGTCATCAGCACACGCCATTGTTTCTCCTCTTGGTAAGTCTCTGGTTTGTTTCCCTTGGGAGAGTCTGGAACAGCCTTCCCCAAGTTGCTGCCCTTCCAGATGTGTGGGCTATCATTCTCATGATGGGAATCATAATCCAGTATATCCGGTGGGCATCAGGCTGGGGAAGGTTAGTCTATATTACTGTGTGTGGCAAAGCCTTAGGCCTCATGCCAGCGTGTTTGAGGAAGCACCCTGCTGGTTGGAAGCAGAGTTGCCTTGCGGAAAAAAAGGATGGTGGTCACTTCGTCCAAGTCATTTATCCAGGGTGGAAATTACCTGGGTGAAAGGGCAGGGGGCACAATGCCATGTGTGATGAATCTGCTGTTGCTCTGAATTAGCTGAACTCATTGAAGTGCCCAACCTGCAGCCTCTGTGCAAAGCACTGTTCCTGTCTCAGGGCAGTATTAGGAAATGCAGACAAAACTTCTGTTCACTTTCAAGGACAGGAAGGAAGCTACAAACTGCATGTAATACAATTTAATAATGCTCATTTAAATATAGTTTGATATAGCCTCTGTTGGTGTTAATGGGAAAACAGCTCATTCACTGAGCAATTCCACCTGTGGTTCCCCCACCCCACTTTTCTTAGGAAATGTGTATATTTCAGGGTCTAAGAAACTCTCACTTCTATGACTCGAGTTCTGACAACTGACTCTTTTCTGCTGCCATTAATTCTCTCAGAATACTATAAACACCTCCTAGCAGCCTGACATTAAAACTTAGGTGGGAGATGGCACCAACACAAGAGACGGTTGGAAGTATAAACACATTGACTTATTAAACAGATATATTGTACTCAAGGGAACATTTACTCAGGAGTTTTCAAAAGACTGCTTACTGACAGATCTTAAGAACTCCAGTGATACTTTTGCTGATACAATAGCTTCTTTTACCTCAGGCCAGGCCCAATTCCCTAATCCTCTGCCACAACCAAGTTTACTCACAAAAGAGTCTTCCTTGACTTGCAACACTCTTCCTCTTATTTTTCTGGCTCCTTGGGCTGTTTTCTGGGATTAATACCTGCTTGTGTAAACTTCTTCTGCTGAGATCTTAGAGCAGACGCCTGGCCACCTGCTCGCTACGCTTAATCTTCACCTGCCACTTGTAAGTGATCTGACAGAGAAGGATTAGCTTAATATTCAGTTGTAGCAACTCACTTTCTCCTAAGCCTTCTCCTAGCCCATCTGTCACACACAAGGGCACTTCCATAGGTGAGGGAAACAATAGGGTGTTTGAGAAACTGCTGATGAGGCTGGAAATCCTGGAAGGCCTGTGATAGCCATGTCCCCTCTTCTTGGCAGTGACGCTGATCTAGCTGGTTATGAAGTTTGGCTTGGGACGCTTTTTAAGAGCCCCGGTCCTAATGACCCGGACAGACAGGCCATCCCCATCCTGAAGATTGTCTGTGGGCCCTCAGAGTCTTTTCTGGTGATGTTGAAACTGCAAAGGTGAGAGGACTCCATGTCCCATGCAGACTGCAAGTGACTTCCCTGTTTTACATGGTAAGGCAGGGGGATCAAAAGTCCTCCTGCATGGCTACCCTCTCCCATTCTCCCTTTCAAATGTGGAAATCCATGATCCGTACTCTGGAATGTCCAAAAAATGGAGCTTTTGGGTTCGGAAAGGGAATGCTAAATATCATGCTCACCAACATCGTTAAGTGAGCATACTGTGGGGCACAGTGAGGATGGGTAACACATGGGAGACTCGGGAAATGCCAGATAGGCCAGGACAATATTATGGTCTATTCTTGGAGAAATCCATCCTGCAAGGTAAGTTGATGGGGATGGCAGCATGCTGCTGTCGTGTGATGTGATAGATTATCTCCATGGGAATGTTTAGCAGGTGGGGCAGGAGATCCAGAACCAAGACAAAATGCATCGGTATTCTTACCTGTTGAAGATGTTTCCCTCTGCCCAAGAGGCAGCTCCCTTCCTTGGACCTTACAGCTGTGATGTTATCTGGGAAGCTCAATCCTGAGAGTCCTCTTTTCTGGTGAGTTCCAGAAAAAAGGATGACATTCATTCACTTCAGTGGCTTTCAGCTAGCCATGCCATTCTCTTCTGATGATGATGAATTATATCCCCAGGAGACAAATTTAAAGCAGTTTGAACTTCTAAAACCTTAAATGCTGGATCTGATATATATCCTTTCATATGCCATTAAATGCCTGAAAAGTTGACAGTGGTGGTTCCAGGCAGACTTTTAGAAAGATTATTTAGAAATGGGGGGCCACCACTGAGAAGGCCTTCCTCCTTGCTGCCTCTTTCTAGGCCTGCCTTGGAGGTGCAGGTGCATATTGTATATTGCATGTGCAACCCAGATACATATTGTAGTGACCAGGAAGACTGAGGTTTGGAGAAGTATTCCATCAGGTATTGGGGTCCCAATTATTAAACTAAAAAAATTAAAACAAGTACCTTGAATTGGGCTCAGAAGCACATAGGCTGCCCGTGCAAGAGGACCAGGATTATACGTTCTCTATAATAAGGCAAAGGCAACAGAAGGGCTTTCACAGATAATCAAGGACAGTTGGGTCCAGAAGTGAGAACTCTGTAACAGAAAGCTGTCAGGGATTCCCAATTTCCCCAGCCAGCTGGGCAAAATCCTGCCCAGAATTTCCCTGGTGCCTCAATTCCCAGACCAGATACTGAATTCAGCACACGACATCCCAAGCTTGGGGAACAAAACAGGTTTATCAGAAGGATAAAACATAGGGGCCGAGGATGCTAAAACTTATAGACTAAAAGAAATAAAATAGGGTAAAATGGGGAAAGGGAGAGGGGAGTTGGGGAGCAGCAATAGTACATTTCACAGCGAGTCAAGCACCCCCAATTCCAGGGCCTTGTTGGCCCACTTGGACTAGAAAACAACAAAGCTAATCCTAGCCTCAGCTAAACACAGAAACTCTTATCTCCAACAAAGGCAGGATGCGCAGAGCTTCACGGCGTTCTTTGGCACAGGCCACAGCAAGGATCCCCAAGGAGGAACAGAGCGCCTCCCTTTGCTCTTCCCCAGCCTTTATCCGCCCCCACCAACACTGGTCAGCTGACCCATGAGGTGATTGCTCATCTCCCAGTCCTTGGGGGCGCACCATCTACTCCAGGTATCAGCCAAAAGTCATGGCTGTTATCACCAGTGTGCTTGAGGCCATAATTTCTGAAAACTCCCCAAAATACATCATAAAGGGAGGAGGATGACTTCCAAAACCTTGGGCACCAGATTCCTGCTGAGCTGGCACCTGGATTTATAACATGTCACCATTACAGCATTAACCTTTCCCTGGCTCCCTGTTAGTCCAAGGACTGGTTCGTGTTATAAACCCAACCCAGGATGCCCTTGCTGAAAGGCTATGCACCTTTGTCCCTTTGGATCTCTTCCTGTCTCAGGAACTGAATTTTAAACAATGCTTGTGCAATGCTTTAAAAACCTGCACAGGTGGAGAGTTTGTCATCCTGTTTGTGATGCCAATTTATGTGACTCTGCTAAAGCGGTCCTTGATTCAGTAAAGAGGAGGCTATCAGGTTTCCAGGGAAAGCCCCTATCAAAGAGAGACTGAACAGCCAGATCTGGTTTTAAACACTATGCATGTAACATTTATTCTATGATATAAAGAATACAGAAGTATAGGAATATCAGTTCAGCGATCATCAGCAACACTATCAAGAGGCCTCATTCACACTCACGTTCACTCAGTATTCACTCACGGCCTGAAACCCTCTCCAGCGGTGATCAATCGTGGCAGGGTTGCGGGTGACCAGTTCAGCGCTGTTCTGGCACACTTGGGAGCTGGAAAGCCTGGTCATTTTATAGCTTAAAGTTGACTCTATCAGCTTAGTTCATCTGGATCAAACAGTGAACTCCTCTGAGCAGAGCTGACAGAACATGCTGGTCTTTATCCTTGACGCAGGCACTCTCCTCGCATCCCATTCTCTCTCTGGATGGTACAGCCTGGGCTTATCTTATGTGTTACGTTCCATTCTCCAACTACTCCTGGCCTTTCAGTTTTGCTGTAAAAAAACTCAGTCCTGGTCAGTCCCATAAAGCTTTTCGATTCTCCATTTTCTTCTGGGTTTTTAGGCCTTCAGGAACCCATGCACACTGTAACAGTAGGTGTCAAGTTCTAGAAGCAAAGCAAATGCCTGTTCTGGCCATCAAAACTGCAAGAACTCTAGAACTATGATCAAGATGAAAGGACATAAAAAAACCTCAGAGCTGTTGCTAGAGACAAAGCAAGGCTTGTTAGTACAGTTTTTAAAAGAAAGTTTCTCATGCATAAGGGGAGAGAATGGAATTAATTTTCCTGGGGGAAAAAAGCTTTCTGCTGAGCTTGATGTACTACAAGGCTCCAAGTTGCAGAATGAATAACGGGAGGACTTGCTTGGGTCAGTTCTCACAACCATGAAGCCTGCCTGGATTAGCTCCCTACAGAAGGCTGGGAGCAGCTGCTCTGGCTGCCCATGGGATTAACGATTGCAGTGGCATGCTCAGAGATCAGTCCTGTGCATCATGGCAGCCGGACACAACTGGCTGCCAGGGAGAGGCTGTCAATGCAATGTGCAGTGGCTATTACGTGACCCAGGCCCCATGAGCCTAATTCTCCAATGGGTGGTTTAGCAGCTTCTCTCTCTCTTTGCAGACCAGCCATCCTGAACCAGCGAGTGGCACTGATCTGTCTCCCGCCTGAGCGCTACATAGTGCCTGAGCACACGCCATGTGAAATCGCAGGATGGGGTGACACCGGGGGTACACTCTGGGGAAAGGATGAGGGAGTGACGATGGGGAAGACTTGTTTATTTGCTTGATCTATGTAAGACTGCCCAGTAACAGTCTGTTCTCTGGGTGGCTCACAACATAAAATGCTAAACAGAACTAAAAATATGATTAGCATAGCAATTTACAACATGCTTTTTCAAACAGAGAGAAGAATAAAAGTAGGTAGGAAATATTCAGCACACAAGCGATGATTGAGGATAGGAAAATCATAGCTGTTTTTAGGTAGTCCAAAAGGTCTTCACTAGAGCTGAAATGATTATAGAGAAAGTGCCATGCATGCCTCCAGAGGAGGCTTTTCTGCTTCATTGGTGCCACAACTATGAAGGTAATCTCTGATTAAGCTCCCCAGTTCACTTGCTAAGGTCACTCAGAACAGTGGCCCCAAACAAGATCTCCAAGTTTGGGTAGGTAGGACATGGAATAATCAACTCAAGTTGCGACAGGCTAGTTATCAGAAAAAAACTCCTCACTGTCAGAGCAATTTGGCACTGGAACCAGCTACCTGGAGAGCTGGTGGGCTCTCCCACTCTGGAGACATTCAAAGAGAAACTGGAAACTCATCTAAGTGGGGTGGTGTAAACTGGTGTCCTGCAACAGTGGGAGGTGGGACCTGATGGCCTTCATGGCCCCTTCCAACTCTACTGTTCTCTGATTCTATCCCAGCATCAAGCTATTAAAAGGTTTAAAGATAAAAACCAACAGTTTGAAATGGCAGCAGTGGCATAACAAGACTGACATAATTAAAGCTTTCTTTTCATCCAACTGAAGTTCCCAGATCCTTGTCAAGGTCTGCCCAAGATTTAATACACTGTAATGAACTAAAGGGGATTGGGGTCTGGCACATGTCCATCCAGTTACCAGCTGTTCCACTGTAGATGCTCTATAGTGATTCCAGCTGTTGCCGTTTTCTTTCCTTGTAGCAACTTCCATTATTGAAACTCCCCAAATGAAGCAGAAAAGGTCTGTACATATTTGATGTGCAAGTTATGTGTGCCCCAGATTTTGTACAGGTTGCCCTTCTTGACAGGGTCCAGCACTGTGGCCACATAACGAAACTTTGCATCTGTTCTAGTGATGCATCACATCAAGGCTCTACTTCCCCACACAGGCGCTGGCAATGAAAACGTCCTCAATGTGGCTAAGCTGCCGATCATGAGCAATCAGCAGTGCAATGTGGAACTCCGAGGCCGCGTGAAGGAGAGCGAGCTGTGTACAGCACCCCTGCGTGTGGGTGTGGGGGCCTGCGAGGTGAGCACGGCAGGAACCTGGGGGGCTGAAAGCTGCTCTGAGTGCACCAGTAAAATGGCTTGTGAGGCCTGGGGCTGGATGTACAAAGAAAGTGTTTGTGAGGAGCAAGAGGAGCACTGGGAGGGGAAAATGCACACAGAAAGAGAGAGTGGAGATGCTTGACAAGATTAGGCCCTGCCTGAGCTGATTTTGTCATCTTCGCTTCTGCAGGGTGATTTTGGAGGCCCTTTGGCTTGCTTGACTCATGACTGCTGGGTGCTACAAGGCGTGATCACCCCGTCCCGCGTATGTGCTCGCAAAGACAAGCCATCCACCTTCATTCGTGTTTCTCTCTATGTTGACTGGATCAACAAAGTAATGAAGTTGAGCTGAACTTGCTGGAGGCAGCACAGCCTGATGTCTCCCATCTCCCTCTGCTGCATCCTCCTCCTCAGCATCACCCCGGAATGGTCCTTCCCCGCTTTTCAGCCCATCTAGCAACAGTGCTTTGGAAGGATAAGCAAGGAGGCTGGAGCACGCTCAAGATAAATTGTGTCCTGGCCTCCCCGTCTCCTGCCCTTCCTGCCAACTGGTGTGGCCCCTTTCCCCTTCTCCAAGGCCAATTTTCCAGCTTTGGAGTGTCAGCCAGCATGCTTCTCTCCCCATCATCTGCAAAGGGGCATGGGCACTCCACTTTCTAAGATTAAACCATTCAGAATCAAAAACATGCTTTGGTCCCAAAGATGCTTGTCCAGGGGCCATACAATTGCTCTCTTAAAGTAGAATGCAGAGAGGGGGTCTGACTTCCAAAAAGCTGTATTCTGTGAGGATTCATGAGGCTCAGCAATAAATACTTTTGCTGGAAATGCCACGCGAGCCCTAGAGGCACTCTTGGAAATAAAGATGGTGCTGTTGACCAGTGTTTTGCTTTGCAGCATGTCCGTCTCCCAAGTTAAAAATATATAATTACAAGATCAAATATTTTTCAAAATCCGGAGGGGCAGAACTCATTTGGATCTATCAAACAATTATACATCTGACATAGAAAAATAGGCTAAAATGAGTATGACCATTTCTAGCCATTATGTATCTTAAAAATATTAAGAACTGTGTATCTCTTTCCTCATTGGTGACTCTGTGACCCCACAAGTTTTTTAAATCCTGCAACTGTATCTTGAAATACTTGAATTTGAAAAGAACTTGGAAAAAACAAACACTGCCAAGTAAGAAGTTCTTTTAGCATAGGATGGACTTGTTCTATGTAAATACAGGTTTCCCTTGTAATCTAGGAGTTCAAGCAAGGCAACATTTTGGATGCCTCCTGCTGAGGCCTTTAGCACCAATTGCTCTGCTTTGTCCACATATTCTTTTCAGCGGGCCCAGATATCATCCAGCAGAATCCTTCCACATTTTCCTACCACTTTTCCCACCAATATGCCCCAATTAAGCTTCCTCAGTGCCCACTACATTTTTCCCTCCTTTTTTTCTAATGTTTATATTTCATTACTGGTAATTGGGATTGCTAAAAAGCAAAGTGGGATCCTTCAGCTGCTGCCATCTTAATTTCCCATGAATGCCACTGGATGGTTACTTTTCCTGCCATGGCCAGGCGGGGACAGTTTCTCAAATATGCCCACAGATCCAAAAGGTTGCCTCCCCGTGAGTTAGAGGACCAAACTGCTTAATAAATACAAACTGTGAGGACCCACACTGAGACACAGTTTTGAATACGGAAATTCATGGTATTTTTTCAAAATCTGTAAAAGTAACTACTACTAAAGCTATTGTGCGTTCTAAAGACTAAATCCTTTAGATTATGCTGCTTCAACTTCAGATTAATTCTTATCAAACAGAATTCAAAATTAAACTGTAACTTTAAAAAATAGCACTGTAGACCCATACAAGAGCTCCACTCATTTACATGGCTTTGTGTTCTGTTCCTAACACATAGTATTTCGACCCCACTTTTGTCTACACTTTGACAGTCTCTTCCTACATTCTAATTTCTTAAGCAGATATTAATTTCTGTTTTGGCTGCCTGGTTGATGTTTTATTGCTGCATTCTAGAATAAACACACCCTGATCACCTTTGGAGATATGGGAAAAAATAACTAGAGAGCCCTGTTACTGTTGAATGCTTTTATGTTTGGCTCCAAACACTTGTTTTTTAATCTGAAAGTCCTGCTACATACACTTTCCATCTCTACTTTTGCAAATCAGGAAATTCCCCGAAAGCCTGCCTTCCACCTCTTTTGTGTCATTCAGGTTACATAAGGCTCCAGACCAGGAAAATGAGCTTGTTATTAGTATATATGATGATGATGAGCATCCCACGCCATTTGTTTTTTGAAATATCTGCACTCTTAGGGTGTGGTCTGATCAGCTGCATCTTCAGAGATCCCAAGCTCCTAAACTTGGAGGCTTTCAGTCATCCATGCAGAATGGAAGCGCAGGCAGAAACAATCTTCGCTTCCCCATCCTACCACCCTGAATTTTTTGACAGATGAGGTTTTTTGCTTTGGAAAGGGAAGGAAGGAGTCTGAAATAGCTCAGGATAGCCCGTAACCTGCTGTGTCCAGGCTCCTCCCCTCCCTGATCACAAGAGTCCCCTTTGGCTTCTCAAAGATTGCTTCTCCAGACTTGGGATGGCTGCCAGCACAGCTCCTTTTCCACCAGCCGCAAGGGGACCCTGTCTCTACCCTCAGAGGGGGAAATCCTTAGCATCCTAGGACCCCTCAGTCAATGTCTAGGGGCCACAGGATTGCTTCTTCAGGGACTCAGGAATATAGTCCAGTGACACTCCTGGGAAGGATCATCTAAGCCCCAAGAACCTGCCTGTACGCCTAGAAGTGAGGACGGGGGAAGGAAACTTCTCTCAGGATATTACGACGGCTGGATCTCTCCTGTGATCTTCATGCAGCATGATCTTTCCACAGACCATTTGCTTGTCAATGATTTAGACGTCTGCATTTTTAGTTGGCTGCTGACTTTCAGCGCTTGCTTCCATAGAAAGATAGTGCATGATCCATTGTGCACAGTTCATAAAGACATCTGCTTTGGCCTCCACGCCACTGATGGCATGACCCTCCTCCGGATAACTCAGCAAGCTGCAAAAGATCAGCAAGAAAATGTCTACCAGTTCCTGTGGACAAGGATTCCCTTCAGTCCCATCTCCCTTTCTATAGAGACCTTGGGACTATCTCTACCTCTCACCTTCTGTGAAGGAATCTACCATGGCTGCTCCACTCCCAAAGCCCTCTGCCCACTTGCGCTCTGGAAGCCTACTGGAGGACAAATCTTTTCCTGTAAATAATTTTGGCATTCTGGATACTGGAGATTGAGAAATATCTAGCAAATCTGAGCATTATATTTGTACAGAGAAATATATACAGATTTCATGAATGCATATTCTCTTGTTCAAAAAATGCTCAGAATTTGCTAGATGGGTTGAAAGAAAAGACACCTGTCAAAAGGAAGAGCTTGTGAAAAAGGAGTGGGAAGTATGAAAAGGGTGGAGGAGACTGAAAAGCAAGGCAATAGAAAAACCAGAGGAACACACTTGAATGGGCAAGATATATTCTCAGCACCTTTATTTTTGCTGAGGACGAGCGGGAGGAACCTTCTCTGAGCAGATATGCACTTATCAGGACATGGGATGGGCTAGGCTCCATGTTTCAGGCAACTACAGAAGCGCACCAGAGAAAGACAGGGAAAATGTTTAGAAATTACAAGTGAAATTGTACCTCCTCCCTACAAAAAAGTGGCAATGAACCAGTGACCATTGTCCAAAGGTGCTGTTTGAGCATCAGTGGCATGGGTGAGATCACCAAAAGATATTTTTGCCTCTTTTGCTGAGTGGCTCACTTGCTGCTTCCTGCAACCCATGATGGGTCAGGCTCCTGGGCTCAGACAACACACCAGCGCATTGAGCTAAACCCCAGAACAAGCCATGGATTGTCAGGGTGGCTTCAAGCCACTCTGCAGGAAGAAGGATCATTTCAGGCATCACGACAACTCACTATGTCTATTTACCCACGTTAGGTTACTGTGTCATGAGAACTCAGCTTCTCTGTCATCATCCTCTCAACCTGAACCTTTCCCCACAGAGAACTGGAGCAACACAAATTATTGTTACATATCCTAGGAAAGTCTTTCCACCAGTGGTGAGTTGTTCGCAAAGAGCGCCCCTAAAACTATACATTTGTATGTTGCTCCTTTATGCCGTTCCACTCTCTGGGATAGTGGTAGGTTTCTGAAGCTCATCTTCTGCTCCCGGCATATGCGTGTTTCTGCATCCTGGCTGCTCACCCACTCACATTTTCATCAGGGCAGAATGAAAGGCAGAGTTTCTTAGCACTATCCTTTTCACTGACATACAAAAAAGCCATGGTGACTTGTCTGAGATATTCCCTGCAAGGTATGGATTTCCACCCAGCATAATACTGGGCTTACATTTGTTGCGGTTGTTGTGCCACAGCAAGCTGGAGTCAATAGGAAGGTCCTTCCTCTGCCCTCTGATAGCCCAGCAATCTGAGTTGTGGTCACACCACGTCAACATGCACTTGCCTGTTAGCAAAGCAAGCAACAATTTCTAAAGGTTGTACTGTGGAATACATTAATGGAGAAATGGTGTCCAAGGGCATCCCTTTAGCAAACCGCTTGAGAACTACTGCATGACTGTCCAGCTCAACAAACAGAACACAAAAACACAGAAAAGCTATTGAGATGAGTGCTATAGCAGAAAATACTAGAAGTTGGCACCTAATTAGAAATTAACACCTTACTGCAAAAGGCACCTTGATTGCCCTTCATTCATTCTTTATTTAATTATTATTATTTATTTTATTTTTCGATTTATATCCTGCCTTTTTCCTACAAAGGGCTCAAGGCAGCTTACATCATTCTCCTCCTCCATCTTATCCCCACAACAACAACCCTGTGAGGTAGGTTGGGCTGAGATTCTGTGTCTGGCCCAGAGTCACCCTGTTGGCTCCATGGCTGAGCGGGGACTAGAACCCAGATCCTCTGAGTCCCAGTCCCACGCTCTTAACCACTACACCACACTGGCTCTCAAATTCTTATGAGAGTTCTTTGAGAATTCTTATTCTCAAATTCATTCTTAAATGCTTTAATTTTTCCCCCTATCCTGTATGAAGGTTGCTCTCTATATTCCAGATAACAAATGAAGCACAAGAGTGAGGCTTTTCGAGAACCTCATAAAATATACTGCTGTATGTTTGTTTAACCTTTAGCTAGGTTCACAAGGATGCAAATGGAGAATGGATATAGTTACCACTGGGCTATATCAAGTATACTTCAGTTTGCATTTCCCTTTCTGTGAATAACATCTGTGTGCTTTTTAAGATAATAAACAAAAATCTAAAATATTACTTACTGAAAATAAGCTCTATTGAACATGGTGTGCACTCAAAGGTACAATTCAAAAATCAAGAGCAGCTGTAACCTTGAGTGTCAAAACCTTTACTCAGAACAGAACCTGGATCCTTTGGCTTAACTCAACAGAAGAAGTCGAAGTATTTGACATGCTCTACTTTTTCAGACAGCGCTGTTAGCATGCTATCAGCCTGCCTCACTCATGAAATTTTATGTGGGATTCAGATAATGTCATTTTTCACTCATAACCCTTCATGATTTCCCACTGTTTCTTTGGTCCTTTTTCTTACTGCAGGAAAAAAATAAGAAGAAAAGGAAAAACTGCACAATGCCTTCTAATGATTAGTATTAAGAGCCCTCCACCAGGAAGCTCCTGATACTAAAATCTTGTTCCGTGTGGTGCTCTGGGCCCATGCAGCGCTGAAGCAATGTGTGTGCAATGAAACATCCGAGAACTGGTCACCAAAAGCTGTGCTTGCACAGTTCAGGTGGGATGTAGAAATGTTCTGGTAAAATGTAACAAAGCACAATGACATGTTTAAAAGGTTCTCAAAGATAATTACGTTATCATGGTTGGCTGATGTTGGCTTTGGATGTTACTTTGTACAATTATGCATCTCGTTTAGAAGAAGAAATAATGGTGCCTGCTCTCTCTGTGTGTACATCTATCTGCTGGAGCCCCAACCAAAGATGGGAGGCAGAGAGATGAGCAACTAGCAGGTGAACTGTCTCAGCACAGCCTACAGAAAGCTTATGAGGAGTTTCATCGCCAACTCCTGCCACTTTTCACCTAGAGAGGGGACAGCTAACCGTTTGTCGGATTCTTATTCACATAGTCACTTAGTCACCCAAACTGAACACCACCCCCAATTCCTACAAAGTCATGAGGCAGGCACTTCTATAAAGTCAGTATCACCACCACTGTTTCAGACAGGAGAAGTATGGAAATCTGGTTACATGACAGCCCGATCCATTTGCATGCTTGGATGCACAGTCCATTAGCACAGTTCTCCAGCCATTAAAAGCTGCTACAGGTTTGCTACCTGCACTTTCCATCTCGGCTCAGCTCCTTCAGTCAGGCAAGGGTACAGCAGGCTCTGCAAGTATCAGCAAATATGTCTTCTCTCCAGATAATTGCTTTTCTGATAGCGGTAGCTGACTTGGCCCTCTGTGGCCTTATCTCTAATGGCTTTATAGTTACAGTGGCAATCATTCAATGGACTAAACGCAGGAGCCTCTCTTCCAATGAACAGCTGCTTATGATTTTGGGTATATCCAATTTCTGTATCACAGTTTTACTGGCTGCGTCTTTGATCGGCAATCAATTAAACAACAGGAGCTACTTACTACTGCAAATAATTTTCCGTGTTGCTATCTTTCTCCTATACTCCAGATTCTGGCTTACGGCCTGGCTCTGTGTCTTTTATTGCCTCAAGATAGTGAACAGCACGTATTCCGCCTTTCTTTGGTGCAAACTGAGGATATCACAGCTAATACCCCATCTTCTTGCAGCATCCCTAGTTGTCTCCTTTTTTCTCTCCGTCTTTTCAATCCTGCATCTTCCTGTGCAATCCCAAAGCAATACTACAGCCTGCACAGCAAACATGACTCAAGCCAAGATGGGGATAGACTTTTCCAGGGACAGAATTTTGCTCTTAAGTCTTGGTTCTGGCTGCCCCCTTCTTGTGGTTTCACTTTGCTCCATCTTGATTGTTGCCTCACTGTGTCGACACATCTGCCGGATGAGAAGTGCCGCATCCAGCTTTAAGAGCCACCAAACGGAAGCTCATATCAAGGCAGCTGGGACAGTGGTCTTTCTCCTGATTCTTTACCTTTTATTTTATGTGGCAGAAAGCTTGCCTCTGATTGTGGGTTTTGAAGGAAGCGACTTGTTTGAATTATTGGTGCTCATGGTGTACGCCCCTGCTCAAGCTACCATCCTGGTACTGGTCAACCCTAAACTAAAGCAGGCAGCTGCGCGGGTGCTTTCAAGAAGGACGCCTTAAGGCTCCCCTACATGAGGTATTTAACCTGGCACTTTACCAATATTGCTTCTTATTATCATTGTATTTCCATTTACTCCTTCTTTTTTCTTTGGTGTAGGATTAGAAGGCTTTTTCAAGAGGCTGCCCTTCTGTATGTTCCTATATATTCCATTACACAACACAAAATGGTGCTATGGTATAGAGTAGAATTGTGAATTTACTCTAGGCTTCTGTAACCAATAAGGAAAAGGCTGCTTTTTCTTGCTCTAAAAATGCCCATGAAAATGGCTGCAAAATATGGGACAGGCTCTAGAGGAGGATGATATTGTAAGAAGGATCCACAAACTTCTGTCAGTGATTTGAACAATAAATGCCTGTGCTGAAAAGCTCTTAACCTCTCGGGACCAAAACAGATGTGATGCTGGTCATGCATTTTACTCTGCTGTGCTTGGTATTGTTTTAAATAATTAGCAGGACTGGGATCAGTGGGAACGGACCCAGACTGGATCTGCGGCTTGCTGGGAATTGGGCTTTCATCCTTGCCATCTGTCCAGGTGTAATCACTCCCTCCTGTGCCTCCCATTCACAAAGGGAGGGAAACTGGTAATGGTAGCTTTCCTCCTACTGGAAAAAACTGGGGGAAAATAGTACCTCTCCTACTACCTGTAATAGGAGGTAGGGACATGGAGGATGATTCTGATGGAGAGACAGCAGGGCCAAAGGATGAAGACCCCGTCCCATGCCATGCCCCCACTCCAGCTTGTGACCTCATGCCAGTGATTTAATTTTTCTTTAACATTCATGAATGTCAGGGCAACTGTCGCATCTGGCTTGGTCCCCTGTAGCTCATCACCATGAAAGCGAGCGTCCTCCAAGTGGCACTGACTCTTTGATTGACTATGTTTCTTTCAGTAGAGCAGAACTATTTCTTTAGCTCAGTGCAACCATTTCTAATTTCAGCTAGAAATGCCAGTTTATGACACCAAACTATGGAAGCTCTGAACTGATGTACAGGCAACGAAGAATACCGGAAGAAAAGGGTCACAAGCTATGGCTGATGAAAACTCCAAAGTATGGACTTATCTATACATTGCTTCTATAAACAAGATAATGCAATTGATAAATCCCAAAATAAGAAACAGTCTGAGTGCTTGTGCAGACATCACAACTCTATAGACTGGGCTCTGTGCAGACATTTACTTAACAAAAACCAGTGCTTTTTTTGTAAAAAAAAAAAAAAAAAGTGCCAGAACTCACGTCTTGTTAATATTTTATTTAAAAGAATATATATTCAATTCACCAACTGTTTTTGAAATAAAGAACTTATTTACCTTTTGCACTTACTTACCTTTTGTTTATGTGTGTGTAGCCAGTCACTCTACACACACACAAACATAATGGTCACCGCTGGCAGTAAGCACTCAGCGCACGACCACACGACCGATCCCAAGCCGAGCTGCATCCCAAGCCAAGCAGTGCCCTCACAATCAGTGTGGACAGACAAGCAGCCGCATGCACGATTTTAATGATTTTTGCCACTGACCTGCTACACCCGACGGGGCGATTCAAAATCACTTGGAAAAATCCATTGGAAAAATCTGTCAAAAAAAGGTGCCAGAATGCCGTTCCGGTGCGTTCTATGACAAAAAAAGCCCTGACAAAAACTAGCTCAGCCTACTCCATCCTTGACTGTTTTCTTCTGCTCATGGCTACCTCTTCCTTCCCAGCTACCCTTCACAGTGCTTTCACCTGGGTTCCTTCTGTCTAACTTGGGACCTTTATAAAATCATTCAAATTGTGCTCCAGCCTCACTTCACCCTTCTAGCATGTGCTGCTTCATTATCCACCAAAATTCTATCCATTTGAAATAGATATTATTGTGCTGTGCACCTGGGACCCAGCTCAGTTAGCTTCTTTCAGCCTGCAAAGTAGACATATATCCCTTAAGCTGGGACAAAACTGTGGCTTTTCTCATACTGTACTTGCCTCTTCTGTAGCTGCTCCACTTTAAGTTTGTTTTGTATTACATTAATTTCCTGGTGTTTCATTTTGGAATAAACTGCATTATGCAGTCATACAAAAATAATCCCACAGAAAAACAAAATTGTACAGAGCTGCTTAAAAGAGTGGTCAGTTATCAAATGGGTAATAAGGCACAGTAGTGTACAAGTCTAAATTTTTTGTTTCTTTTGAATGAAATGAGAGATTATGATTCATCAGCACCATCTGCTGGATAAGCTGCTGCTCTCTTCAAAAATAAACTTCATTTGGCTAGTAACAAATGAGCAAACAGGGCAAAAACGGTATAATCAACTATCCATGCTCAGTCTTCATGGTGAGGAGAGGCGATGCTCTGGGAGCAAATATAAAGGCGATGACTGAGGACAAACCAGAATAGTCATGCTCAGGCAATGAGAAAAGCTTGGAGGATGAATGCTAGCAAGCTTGATGGACAGATGTTTTGCACGGGACTCTGTTCAGACAGGAGTGAAAAGACTGCCTCCTGTATATCTAAGAACTCACCGCACAGGGATGCCTCTGGCGCGCAGCACGCGATAGTATTCCACAGCTTGGTATGGAGACACTCGTCGGTCCCTGGCACCCACACACAGCAGCAATGGGGCTCGCACCTGTAGGAGAGGCAGCAGCGACTGTGTAAGTAGCACAGGGCAGGGGCAGCCTGCTGCTTGGAGCCAAGTAGCCAAATTTGCTTACAGTTTTCACGAAAAAAGAAAAGCTGAATTCCGCAATTACATAAACCGTGTAAGCTACACAGTTGCTATTTTAGCCTCTTGTATTTGCTGAATGAGTCAAGAACACTGCTATTGCTGTTAAGGCCAAATGCTTTCACCTGAAATACTACTCGGCACCTCCCACACACACTCAAACCCATCCAGGATAGCCAGAAAGGCTAGAAACTTGTTCTTGTTAACATAAAGACGGAGATTCTCAAGTTGACAAATTGTATGCTCCCATTGTAGAAGCTCGACGAATGCAGGGATGGTGTGGAATTGTGGGAAGTCACACAGCACGGCACATGGCACACTGATAGAGCCCCCCACCCCCACAAGGCACTGGCAGATTTGCAAGTGCCACAACCAGTGGACACTTCCACCCACTGGGCTGTACCTTTGCAGCATGAGTTATGGGGGAGCTGAGCAGCATGGCAGCCAGATCTTCTTCAGTAGGAATCCGCTCAAAGCAGTAGGGCAGGCCAAGAGCTGTGTACCGCCTGTGGGAATGGTGGAGTCTGTTACTTCATGACCTAATTCCTGACCTCTAGCAAGTTACCATGCAATATGGCAGCGGTGGAGGAGGGAAAGGTCAGAGAGAAAGGAGGAGGGTGAGTGAATCCTGGAAGGAGAGGATGAGAGACCGACTTGTAACCTGAGACAGGATGGCGTCAGCTGACCCAGTGGAGGAACGGGAAAAAAGCAGAGAGATTTATCAGAACAGGATTGTGACAAATAAGAGGATTTGGGATAAGTCAGGGTCTTGGACTGGACATGGTGGAAAGGTTGGGGAATTTTGGTTCCTTACCAGTCAGGGATGTCAGAGGTCCCAAGCAGAGTGGCCATGTTGATCACAGGGCTTCTGACTGCACAGGCTTTGTACCTCTCTGGGTACTGGCCAATCAAATGGCAACAGATAAAGCCACCATGAGAGCCACCCCATAAACCGATTCTGTTTGGATCCACAGGCTCCATCTGCAAGGCCAATTCCACTGCCCGCTGTGAGAGCAGAGCCAAGAAAAAGTTATGTGTAGTCTCAAAGTCAAAGCAGGAACTTTGTCCAGTTCTCAGAACTGGAGGGTTGGTCTGTCATAGTCACTCACCCATATGGTTTCCCAGTATCGCCTCCCACAAAGTTCAGCAACCAGACACAGAGGGATTGAATTCTTGAAGGAAACTGGCAGGAAATGCTGATGAGAGTCTGGAGAGGTCTGGTTTATGTTTCTAGATTCTCACTACAGCATCTGCTCTACAAGCAACTTGTCTCACAGCCAACTGGGAAGACCTGTGTGATCCACGTGGCTGGCTGGGATGACACTGCCAGGAGGACTGAATCCATACAGCTGTGATGGCGGGCAAAAGGGGATGGGTAGAAGAAATGGTCCCCCTATGAGCAGTAGCTCATGATATAATCCAGAAGTGCCTCCCAGGAACCAGGAAGGTGATAATGGCTTCTCCTCCTGACTTAAAGGGGAATCTGTGCAGTCATTAAGCTCATCGGAGGCACTCTTGCTGGTTGCACCGAGACCAGCAGGTTGGCCTCTTACCACAACCTGAGGGCAGTCCTTCTCCATGGTGGTGCCCAGCTCATGCAGTGGCCCTGTTGGAAAGACCTCTCCCTTTTGCTATTCAGGAGGCACCCATTGAAGACCCATCTCTTTGTTCAGGCCTTCCCTGATTACGGTGTTGCTGTAATTCTAATATGTTTACCAATGTTTCATAGAAATATTTTAATTATTATGTATGCTAATTGTATTTTAATGTATATCACAATGCATTTAAGATCTTATAAACTGCCAAGAGAGATTTCATGTGTGGCAGCTAGTATATGAATCTATTAAATGAATAGAAATAAAAGATTAGCACCTGTTGTAAGTAGGACAGACTGATAATGCAGTGATTTTTTTCCCCTTATCAAGACCTACCCTAGCACAGAATGGGAAAAGAGAAAAAAAAGGCTGACCTGAGTGTCCTCCACATCTTGCACACCCACATGGGAAATGAGTGAGTCGATGCTGGCCTGACCGAAGCCCAGGGAGCCTCTGTAGTTCACTGCTTAGAGAAAAGCAGATCAAGGGAGTTGGCAGGCCTGGTCTAAGCGGCTTCCAGAGTTTTCTGAGGGTGGCGCAGCAGCAAGCAGCTGCCAGTGGGGAAGGCTTCCTACCCCAGTTGCTTGCTACAGCTCCCAAATCTAGGGAGTACTTAAGCTGGTTTAACAGCGTTTTAACAAGTAGGGGGTCTCCTTTTGGGCTGGGTGCATGTGCGGGGGGAGGGGAGCTGGGTACAGTTGAGCTCACAGAAACTGTGCTCCATGAGCTCCGGGACTTTTCACAACAGGCATGTATCATGTGCTTATCATTCCCCACCAGGGATGGTTTATTGGTTCTTTGGACAATGTTGTGACCATGAAGCTTCATTTCTTTGCCTAATCAGTACTTTCAGTGAGGTCTTTTTTACAGCAGGGAGAGTGTGGTGGTTAATTGTTAATGCAAAAGAAAACATCATTTTCTCTTGTGTATTTGCAAGAGCTAAGCAGATAGCCATAAGTCAGAGATGACTGGCTGACACAGAACAAGGTATTTGCATGGTCCCAATACCACAGTGCCACCTAGAGATCATATAGTTGGAAAGCAGGAAAGGAAATGCCCCTTGTGCAGTGCTCAGATCCCAGTTCTGTGATGAAACTAAAAGTAGATACAGCAGATTAACAACCTTGCATAGAAAAGCTCCATGTCTTCAGTGCTGAGTTAAAGCTATGTGCTCCCTCCCCAATTTTAGACTAATGCAGTCAAGGGAAATTATTCACACGAGAAGCAGAAGATTCAGTGAACTGTGCTACTGAGCCAGAAGGAGGGCATCAAAGAAAGAAAAGAGCAGGGGGCCTATGGGAAAATGGTGGGGCTTCTTGGGATGGAACTATTTTCTCACTGGATGTGGTGAATTTTCTCTCTATAGCTCCACTTAGACTCTATAGGTTTCCCCC